CCATCTCATCACATCACCATCGAATGTGGGAATCGCCACGGTGAGTGCTGCCCTCAAATTGGCGCTACCAGCCGTGTTCTGTGACTCAGAGGCTCTGGATTGAGCTTCTTCAGCTCTCTCGAGACGAGCCAGGAGGCGGGATCCGAGGAAGGCCTCATCCTCTAGAGTCTGAACATGATCAGTCTCATCGGCTTGACCCTGTTTGTCCAGCTGAACCTGTATGCCCTGTAACTCAGTCTGGATCTTCTCCACGTGGTGGAGTTTTAGGGCAAGCTGATCCGGGTCTAGCGCTTTCCGATCTCCCTCCCTGTAGGCCCGGAGATCGTTGCACGCTTTGGTAGCCTTTGTGCGGAGACGCGACCTAGCAGCCAGTAGCTCCTCCATGTTTGAGTGAAATGGGAACTAAATCAAAGTACAAAGTGGACTGTATGTTCAAAACAAACCATCAATTTACCCAGTGGACTCAACAAATTAAATGTCCGGTAGCCATGGGGACTGTGCCCTCCACTGAATAAATGATCCGACCCCGGTGGACTATGTTGCAATTCCAAATTAAAGAAGGTATAAATACACCAGGCGGATGTATTTTTGATAGTCAGCAAAATGAACAACCATGGCAGGGCAGGGCAGGGCTCCGACTCGGCCCAGTACAAACTCTGCACCAAAATAAGCCTACTCCATGAAATGAGAGCCTCGTTCATGGCTCCCCAACCCGTGAATATCCTCCCTGAATAGGCGCGTTGCCGTATGAAATAGCGACCTTGCAAGGCACGCTCAAATGTTACGAACAGCTCCGCGAATATGCTCGCCGAACAGGCCGCTCAGACTAGTAAGGCTAACATATTCACGGCGCTGTGCTATCGGTGGTTGGGTCCAAAAAGCGAATGTGGAATGAGCCGGACAGACTCAGTCCCAGATTTAGACCCTCGAATGCATATGCGTCGCCGAGTAAGCCGACAGCAAGCCTCTCAGACGAGTCTGCCGACGTCCCCAGCAAACGCATATAACATTCGAGGTCCCAACGCACCAGCCGCGACAACAGACATGAGACATTGCCCGACTGCCCTCCGCCGGCGCACACTCACCCGACCTCGCCTCACAATCACGTGGTCAGCAGCCGACCAATCACTGCACGAGTCCGCGCCGCACAGCCCCGCTCCAGCGAGAGATGCTGTGCCGCAATACAGCGGCCGCGCGTCGGCCGAGGAGAAATACGGGCGGCCGAGCCGACACAAGCGGGCGAAAAGACGATAACTAAATTGACAGTTCTAACACTGCCCTCCTCAGTGCCCTACTCTGTTACTTGCCCTGTGCCCTTAGTCGTAGCAGTAGCACGTGCCCTCTGCTCAACTTTGGGACGCAGTAAAAATTTGTTACTTAAAATATGCCCTGGGATGACCTGCCAAATCAAATATGATATGTCACCCTCGCCCCGCTGGGGGTGGGGTGGGGGGCAGAATCTGCCCCCTCCCGTTTTTCGCCAATAACGTCTAAACGCGTTATGTCAGCGATGTCAAACTTTCAGTACCTTATCATACATCAATTTGACATGTTCTTTGAGAATTTGAGCGAAATCCGTCGGAAATTTTTGAGAAAATGACGTTTTGGTGACGTCATGCTCGCCATTTTCGCCTCAAAAACGGCAAAATTTCAAATGCCGCTAGCATCTTCATTTTTAAAGGAATCAAGACGTAACAAAAAAGGTTATACGTGATTCTACTTTGTACATCAAATGGCTACCTCGGTTTTTTGACAATTTTGGATTTTGGCCCAAATTTTTCCAAAAACCGACTTTTTGGGGAAAATAATGATAAAATCCAAAATTTTGAGTGTATCGAATATGTCAGAAAAGTGGTCAATGTGCACCTACATACCAATGTTCAGAAGAATCGGTTCAAAAATGTGAGAGTTATTCAAAATTGTATGACGTCACGACACACAATTTTTTGGAAGTTCTAGACCTCGTAAGAAAACGAAAGTAGCACCATTCGATTCGCCGTGAAAAACTACATCAAATAGACATCTTTTTAGGCCTTAACAACCAACTTCAAAATTTGACCTCACTTGACCTGACCTTGACCTGACCTCGACCTGAACTTAATCCAGAGGTGGTCCATATCACTTATTGAGTGTGCCTATTGAATTATATGAACAAAATGACCCATAAAACATGTGTCGCACATGCCCTTTTCTATATTTTGTTTTGGTGACCTGACCTGACCTGACCTGACCTGACCCTGACCTTGACCTTTGAATGATATTGTATGCAACGAATATTGTCTTGGTAGCCTAAGAACACGGTTTGGGCAATCAGTCTCAGTCCATTCTTCGGCAACTACGGTGCAAGGCCGATAATGTAGAAACTGGCATTTTGTACCCTTGACCTGACCTTGACCTGACAGCTGACCTCTGACCTACTTAAGCAAAAAAATTGGGCTCTTAAGATCAGCCTTGTTGAGAGCTTTCGATTGCCGTTTTCGCCGTCTTTCTACGACCATCGGTTCGGAAGTTAGACAGGGGGCAGAATCTGCCCGCCCATGGGCAACTTTATTTCCTACGGGTAGCTCCACCCCATGCAGGAGCAGGCCCGTAGCCGGGTGCGGTGACCGTCAGGGGGTTGAGTGGCCTGTCAACGTGATGGGCTCAGCCCCGACGGGTCACCAGGGTGCCCGCCCAGACCAAGAGCTCCCCCTAGTTCCTATCATTCTTTCGGCTCTGAAGACTAGAAGGGTCTTCTTAGACCGAAAGAGCCTGATTCAACGAAAGAAAAAGAAAAGAAAAAAGAAACGGATTTAATATGTACTGAACAATATCTGTCCAAACATTCAAAGTTACCTTATCCAAACAGTGTTCTTGAGTCGACGCACCTTGGCATAATAAAATGCGATGGTGCCAAAATTGATGCTCGGGAAAGTAAGCGTTTTTACGAGTCATCAAAATGCCTCCTTTGTGACGTTCGTCTTTTCCCAATGATCATTGTTTGACCTGGACACTTGACATTTCGATCCATTTGTTGTGACTTTTGACCATCAATCGCTCGCTTTCTTTTCCTAGAAGCTCTATGTTATTAATTCGTAATTTAGAGTGAAACGGCAAGAGAGTTGCAAGAACTCCTGTCTCGATGGAGCATGTAGAGAAAACCGAGTGGTTTGGAGAGGGACCGGTAGTTTGATTAGTAAGAGTGGTACTATGAAATAAGCTTGCTGAATGCCTTTCATATCCCTAACCCTCGCCGGCACAGGCCATTTTGAGTCCTTCGACGGCACAAGGGGGGGGGGGGGGGGGTTGGTACGACCCCCCCTCGCGTTTGGCCCCTGATCGAGCTAGAGCTTCGCGGAAAAAACGAGCGTGCTGCCCGTCACGAGAGGAAGCCGATGATACCCAATTTTAAGGTCCTAGGTCATCGGGTGACCTTCCAGGTCAGGTCAATGACCCGAAAACCGGGAAAATCGGGACCTGTTAGAAAGTCGTAAAGTGTGGCTGCTATGTGGTTTTCCGGGGTGCTGATCACGAATATCGTGTTAGTTTTGATCAGAGATGATGTCTTTAAGCATTTAGACCAGGTCGGGTCAGGTCAGGTCAGGTCAACCGGTAGGGGTTGTGACGGGTATTCGTAATACGTGTCAACGGCCTCGGACAGCTTCGTAACATGTTACGAAGGCACCAAAACTACTTCGTAAATGTTCAAATGGTTGATAAATTCGAATTCAGCTCCAAAAACTAGCCTGGAAACATGTAAAACTCGAAAAAGTGAACCGAGGTCACCCGAGGTCACCAAAGGTCAATGACCTGACCTGACCTTCAGGTGACCTTGACACCCACCCTAATGCATGGGAGCAACATCAAATCACATGTTTGAACGTTTGAAACCACGAAAAGCTTGCAAACGCGCGGCTAATGCGAGCCGACATGCGCCGATTCGCGATTTCGGCCAAGCATGGTCACAGAAAAGAGGTCACAGGTCAAAGGTTATTGGGGTCAGGGTCATGAAATTTTCAGGGTAGGTGTAAAATTGATCAATGCGAGGGTACTGAAAGTGTCGTCGCGATCGGCCGCTTTTTACGCGAGTTATTCGCGAAAAACCTTGGGGGGGGGTTGCATCAACCCCCCCCCCCCCCTGTGCCGGCGAGGGTTAATTTGAGGCACCACGCAGCCTTTCGACTTATCGGATGTATGCGGAAACTAAGTATGATCAAACTATAATGCTATCGAGGTCATAATCCAAACATATCCATAGTAAATGTTTCTTACGGAACTCAGACAACTTTGTAGGATAAAGGTGTTTGTGTTTGTAAACAGACGTCGAAGTTCTGACGCGCTCAGCTACTTGGCGGCAGCTCTTAATGTGAAGGACGTACGCCAGTCGATAGCACCCTTCCCGTCTCCTGCCCCACAATTCTGCCCTCCCTCCCCCTCTGGCGCTCCAGATTTCCGGCCATTCCGCCGGTCTGGCCCTCTCCCATCGATCCCTGCGCGAGAGGAGGCCGGCCGGCCTAGTTGGGTCTCCTGCCGTCCGATGGCAGCACCGCCTTAAATCAATAGGCCGGGAAGTTTGATAAAACGGCGCTTTGTAGTAGAACGTGTCTGATCGGGCGTGCTTCTTCAGATCCGATTAAAATCGAGTTTGTTGTTGTGATTTTACACAAACTGGACATCAATGACGCAGTTGAACTCCATTTTCAACAGGATGAGAGAAGACGAAGTAGTTCATTAAATTTGTCAAGTTTAGTGAGCGTAATTCGTAGAGTAGGTATGTGGCTTGGAGGAAAAAGAAACGAAACGGAAAAAAACGTGAGCAGCATCGAATGACTTTTAAGCCCATTAGCTCGCGTAAATCTGTAGAGCTGCCGCTAACACAGGACAAACACCAGGCCTTTTGCAGGAGCTCACAGGCCGTTTTATGACACTTACTCGCCGAGCAAATTGACCGGGACACCCTGTCAATGAGCACTACCGGCGCGCTGCAGGCAGCGGTGGTCGTTTCCATTAGGAGTGGCGGTGCCAGTGGTGGCGAGGCGCGCGGGGCTGCGCGGGCCGGCGGCGGACGACTCTGCTCAGACGGAAGCCGCCTCGGGCACGGTCAGCACCAGGGTGGGAGCTGTCAGGTCACCGCCGGGCCCGCACGACACCCCGATCAGGTCAGGTCAGCGCCATCAGCTGTGCATGGGACTGTGCGGTGAACGTCAGTGTTTGAGAAATTAGTTGATGAGTGTGTGTAGGTGTTTGGACGCTCATTAGTTAAAAGCTTTGTCCATTAAAACTGTTGATTGTTGAATCGTTTCAGGAAGTGGATTCATCGTACCCTTAATCTAGCGGAAAGGGGCTTTCAGATCAATGGCGTTGCATTTTGTGTTGAGGGTGGACCGTTCAGCTACGGCTCTATGTTATGAATCATTGGCATCGTATACGGATATGCATGAATGGATCATTGGATATAGTATTGAAGTGTTGATAAAAATATGCTTTATTTTGAGCCCAATGTAAATTACTCATTCGGTGTCTCATTATGTAAACCAAAGACTAGCTTCTGTCGTTTGATATGATTTAAAACGTTGAACATTGTATGTGCCAAGGTTCAATGGGTACGACTTTGTGCGTACACTTTAATACGCGCATGACTGGGTATATCTCTTGACACGGTTGATTGTAGGGTGAGGCTCTTCATCAAAAACCACCCCGGTCTTATCTTAAAGAATAAAACGATATTTGATAGCCCTGAAAAATACTATCGAACGAGAACTTAAGTTTCTACCCTCTGGTTATTGTCCACGAATAACGTTACAGGTCAGTTCAAGGAAATAGCATCAAAATTAGGCATGTTCATTGTTAACATTTCGTGCTCAGGTGGTCACTGAAGCAGTAACATCAAGTTTCATTTTGATCTAAGTTCTCGGATACCGAGCGGCGAGCCTGGTAGTTTGTTATGGGTTAAATCTAGGCCAGGCTATGTCAAGCTTGGTCACTGAAATGTCGAGATATTTTATGGCATTTATACTTAGGTCATGAGACACATGTTTTACGGTCCATTTGAGTCACACGATTCGAAATCAGTGTCGTTTGTATACCGTTTTAGCCTTCGTACTTGGGGGGGGGGCGGGGGGGGGGGTTGAACGGACCCTTCCTCCCTTTTTCGCGAATAACTCGCGAAAAAGCGGCCGATTATGACGAAACTTTCAGTTATACGCTCGCGTAAATCATTCTTATATATGCCCTAAAAAATTTCATGACGCTGAACCAAATGACCTTTGACCTGTGACCTATTGCTCGAGACTATGTTTGGCCGGAATCGCGATTCGGGGCATGTCAGCTCACATTATCCGCGCGTTTGCAGCCTTTTGTGGTTTAAACGTTCAAACACGTGAAATGATATTGGTCCTATGCACTATGGTGGCTGCCAAGGTCACGTGAATGTCAGACCAGGTCATTGACCTTAGATGATCTAGGTTAATTTTTTCGAGTTTTACATGTTTATAGGCTAATTTTGAGAGCTGATTTCGAATTTAGCAACCATTGGAACATTTACGAGATAATTTTTGTGCCTTCGTAGCATGTTACAAAGCTGTTAGTGATGGTTGACACCTACTATGAATACCTGGCAGGACCCCTACTGGTTGACCTGACCTGGCCTGACCCGACCTGGCCTAAATGCATGAAGACTTCATCTGTGATAAAAACTAGCATGAAATTCGTGATTAAAACTAAAAAATAATTAACAACCTCACATTACGAAGTTCTGACAAGTCTTTGATTTTACCGACTTTTGGGTCATGGACCTGACCTGCAAGGTCAACCAATGACCTAGGACCTTAAAATTGGATATCATCAGCTTCCTTTTGTCACGGACAACATAGTTTTTTTCCGCAAAGCTCTGCCTCGATCAGGGGCGGAACGGCAAGGGACTGGGAGGCGGGCGGGTCCTACGGACCCCCATACGTTCGCGGCTGGCAAAACACCAATACCGGCGAGCGTTAACCCGCGAGTTACTGGGGGGGGGGCGTTAAACGCCCCCACTTTTTTCGCCGGGCCATAGCATAAAAACGGCGCGCCGCAGGCGCGCCAAATTTTGGGTATCTGTAGGGAATTGATTGAAGTTTATTGTGACAAAGTTTCAAAAAAATCGGTCGGAAAATTTTTGAGATATCGAGGTTTTAGTGACGTCATGATTTCTGAGTTTTCGACCAAAAACGGCATATGTTCAAAAAATCATATAAAATCACAGAATAGACATACAGACATGCCGTAAACGCCATTAGACTGCCAATACCATGAACAATCAAATGGCTATCTTCGATTATTGATTATTGCTCCGCATTTTCCAAAATCTTGAACTGAATCTTGGCAATTTCTCGTGACTACCTCACGACCATGATACATGCATTTCTTAAATTTAACTTTTTGAGCCAAACGCGTACACATATGCTAAAATGAATGGCCCCATCGTGTTCTACGCCCCAAATTACCCATAAAACATGTGTCACAGGCTGCGAATATCAGTTTTGATTTTCGGGGATATGTGCCTACCCGGTTGACCTGACCTTGACCCTGACCTATGCTTGACTGACCCCTACATGGAGCTGACACTCTTTTAGACCTTATATGATGCATTGTGCACCGTTTTGACAGAGTTTATGACGAGAGGCGCCCATTGCGAAGTCCTGAAGTCCATGCTACTGAAAGCCCGATTTCAGGTGTTTGACCTGACCTTGACCCGACCTGTGACCTCAAAATTCAACTTTAAAGTACTCATCTGAAGCGTCTCGTCGCGTTCTTTCGTTTGCCGCCTCGTGCGTTTCGCTGCGCCTATTGGTTCTCGAGTTATCGTCTGGGGGCGTTTAACGACCCCCCCCCAGCAAACGGTGGGTGGCGAAATACCCCAGCAACTGCCGGGTTAAAGGGACCTTCCCACATTAAAAAAGTTAATAAATGGCATAAAAGTGATGTCCCGTGGTTCAGAAAGATGACAAATAAACATTTACACAATTTCATTGAAAAATATTCACTGGTTTTCAAGATACTAAACTTCATTTCATTTATTGAAAAGAGCCATTCTCGCACATCATACCTACCTATTGTGTTTTTTTTTTTTATGGAAAATAACGAAAATGACAACGCTTTTCAGTAGGTAGGTAACTAGAGCATCATTGTTAATGTAAAAAAACGTAATACAATCAGCAGACAGCAGCGGACAGCAGACAGCAGACGCGCAATCGCACACAGTCGCATACTCACATTGTTCAGTCTGGAGCCTCCAGACTGACAATTTGAGTGTGCGACTGTGTGCTGGAGGTAGATGGACGAGGGGTGGCCGCTCTGGCGGCGCCCGAGCGGCGGCACAGTGGCGTGCTAGATCATTATATAACGCCGGCCCATGACAAGTAAAATGGCGGCGTCCCATTAAGTCATAGACCGGGGCACTGGCGGTAACTCATCGTGTCGTTAAGCACGCTCGGTCGCCACGCGAGCTTCCGCTACAGTAGACAGCTCGGCCGCCAGTTCAAAGCGCTCATCAAAGCCACACCACGGCTAACCTCTGGTATGTAAGAGGGTCTAACTATTCAAGTCCTTTTCTTAGCGATATAATATCTCAAAGGCAAGTGTTTCACTATCCCGCTTTGATTTGTGGTCTGCCTACGAGACAGAGATCGGAAGATTACCAGTATCAGCTGGAACGGTTACACTAGCCACACTAACAAGGAGGCACAATATTATGACAACCAAGAGATTGTTGATCTTTCTCGGGTATGTTGACAGGCGCAAAGGAAATGGACAATACGAGATAAAGGGGAAAGGATAGAAAGAGAGAGAGAGAGAGGGGGGAGAGAGAGATAGAGAGAGAGAGAGAGAGAGAGAGAGAGAGAGAGAGAGAGAGAGAGAGAGAGAGAGAGAGAGAGAGAGAGAGAGAGAGAGAGAGAGAGAGAGAGAGAAAGAGAGAGAGAGAGAGAGAGAGAGAGAGAGAGAGAGAGGGAGGGAGGAAGAGAGCGAAATATTTACAAGCTGGTAAAACGCCAATAATTTACGTACCGTACTTGAATGCAAAAACGCCGATGCATGTCTGTCTGTTCGTGTGTAATCATCATCCTCAGCCGTTTTGAGGATTACCTTTCAACATGATGTTATCAGGATTTTTTGTCTTTTCGCCGGCAGCATTCTTTCATTCTTCCCTCGTTAGGTGTCAGGGCAAGCATTTTTTTTTCAATTGCTAATTATTACGATAATGTTTTTCCACAAAGGCGTTGTGATGTCTCCCTTTATAGTGAACGGTCAGTATTCATAACATTTATGATTAAAGATGTTTTATCAGCATTCTAAACAGCATCGCCTTTCCCGGGCACCCCACAAAAACATCCAGCCCAGGAAAAATCGCGTCTCTCCGTCTGCCGAGCGCCGGCCTTGGTCGTCTATCCGAAGGCAATGTCTCCATAAATCCTGCGTTAGCCCGGCGCGGCGGCCGGTCGGCGGCCGTTTTCGCCTCGCTCGTAGATCGATGTCGCTCTGGGGCCGTCCCCACAGTCGTTGCCGGTGCGGTGACGGCCGCGGCAGCTGTGACCGCTCGCCGCTCCTCTCCCCAGGGAGCGCCGCTAGACGGGGCATGAGCGCGTCCGGCTGCGTCCCGGCCTACCGCCGCTGAGAGAGAGAACGAGCACACTCCAGCGTCCATTCTCCAGCAGCGGCAGCAGCGATGGGCGACCACGGCCCGCAGAAGCTGGCGCTGGAGCCGCGCCCCTGCGTCACCGCCCAGCACAGCGCCAACGGCACGCCCCAGACGCCCAGCACACAGGTAACGGATAGACACATGTCCGGTGATTAACTGAAGCTTGAAAGAGCCCCTAGATGCGCAGGCTTTGAGGTGGTTTAATAGATTTGGTATTGTAGGTTTTATGTAAGTACTTCGAAACAGAACATAAGACTGCTAGCTGAGCCTAAAGGCCTTTACCCTGTTGCACCACAATACGTTGCATATATACATAGTTCTTGAATTGTTTTGCTAACACCAACAAACGTGCTTGAGATGGCCCTCCACCATTCCACGTAGCTCCTTTTTCATGTTTCCAGAAACGCGCATCTGCCCCTGACCTGAACTTATGGTGTGTCTCCTCGATCGCAGGTCATATCGTTGAAGCCCGAAGAGCCGGAACGAGAGACCTGGTCGGGCAAGCTGGACTTTGTTCTCTCGGTTGTGGGCTATGCAATCGGCCTGGGAAACGTCTGGCGGTTTCCATATCTTTGCTACCGAAATGGCGGAGGTGAGTGTTCAGCTTGTAGTCGGTAAACAGTTAACTCACCCCATGTTTCTCAAACGTCCAAAGAGCGGATCATGTTAAGGTAGCTTGAAATACGCACGATTTTGGACACGATTTTGTGGCGACAAGTCGTGCCATTTTGTGCCATTTTGTGGCACGAACTGGGAGGCCCCCGCACCGTTCACGACAAGTTCACGCATAGTTCACGACGAGTTCACGGCGACCTCACGAATAGCTAGTTTACGAATGGGCGCATTGAGTTTGCGCATTTCGAAATTCGTGAAAACTTGGACACCTCATATAAATACAGGTCATATAAATAATCACAATGCGTCATACAAATAATGACAGCCCAGTTCAGTCCTTTGGAATGGGGAGTAGTGTCCAGGAAGACCCCGCACCGAAGAGAGCGCAGTAGTCAGGCAGTATAGTCGTGAACTACTCAAGAAATCGTCATGAACTACTCGCGAACTCATAGTAAACTGCTCGTGCCATGTGCAAACTATTCGTTACGTGCGTAAACTAGTTATAAACTATTTATGCCATAAATGCGTGAAGTATGCGTGACGTGACTGTCTCAGTGCAAATGGGAGGGTAGGTGCGGCCGTGTTGCGATGCCCACCATTTCGTGAATATGTCGCAAATTACCTGTGAACTCGACGTGAGGTGTCCGTGACCTATTTGTGGCAGTTTGTAGTTCGAGCAAAGCGGAGACTGATGCGTACTCATTCGTCAAGTATTTATTCGTGAAATCATCGTGAACACAACGTTAGAACTTCCAATAATTACCTTTCAAACGTCTTGTTGTACTCGGTTCATGTATAACATCTTCGGATCTTCGTTCCAATATAATCTTTTCCTCTTTCTTTTTCCACCTCATTCTTTCGCCGTCCCGCTTCCACGCTCTAAACACCAGGAGCGTCTCGCGTTGTCCTTTCTTTTTATCATCACCATGGCGATTTTCTCCGTTCCGCTTCTCCTCCCATCTTTCATCGCCCCTGCAGCTCTGCCCAGAGGTCGTCTCGCGGATGCAGCCTGCAGGGCGCCTGCCCCTCCCCCTGCCCCCCCCCCTGGGCGGCTGGGCGACAGACGCGTGTGAGATGCCGTATTGATTGGGCCGGTGTGGGCCTCGGAGGGCGCCGCTGGTGGCTGGCAGGCTGGCCGCGGCCGCTGCCGCCGCCTCCGACCCGGCGCTGCTCTCCCGGCGACCTGGCACCGTGCCAGACGCCGCCGCCGACGGCCGGCGGCCCTCTAATGACCTGGCGCGAAATTTAGCGCGCCACCGTGAAATTAGTTAAGTGACGAGCTCGTGAGAATATGAGCCTAATTTGTGTGCAAGGGAGGCTGATAAGCTGCCTCCTAACCGCAGTCTGTCACCGACTACAAGTGAAATATTTGTTTAGGATGCTAGAAGGCCTTTACGTTTTTATCAACATATTAGGTAGACACTTTAATCCTCGCCGATCCTATCGGCTTTCTACACACTTTAGGTACACACTTTCAGGGAGGTCGGTGGAACCGATCTCACCATTTCTCCCCTAATTGAGCTAGAGCCTCGCAGAAGAGAAGACGTGTGCGCCGTTACAAGACGCAGCGACTGGTACTCGATTTTAAGGCCTCAGGCCAGCCGGTTACCTCTGATGTCAGATCAAGAATACAATGTATGGGCCCGTTTTTTGCAAATAATTTCACCTAAAATGATCGCAGGGCGTGGTTTTGGCACCATCGTGTTTGTCATGATCAGGCTCGTCGAATATTTTTTTTGCGCAGGCCATCTTAGGGGGTTGACCTCAGGTCAAGGCCAGGTCACAGTCTCTCAGGTAACTAAGCTGGTCGAAGGAGACGTTATTGCGTGTCATTCGATTCGGCAGGTTTTTCTGAGTCCATTGATGGCTTTCCCGACTCGCTAGCTCAGAGGCCATGTGACCGCCCTGACCTCAGATGACACTCAGGAAAAATCTCAGATACACGAGTACAAGATGCGAGGCCTCGGAAGGTTCACGTCTCATAAGTTGCATCTTCCTGCAAACGCTCCTCTGGCACTGACGGCATTACGAAGTTACGACATTTCATGACCGTTCAGAAGTTCAATTATTATAACGTCATAACTCATAGGTCAGTGACTTGACATGACCTGAAAATGTGGTTGTTGTCACAAGATCTGGCTTGAATATAGCATTAGATATGCAAGATTACAACTTCCTATAGATATCGCGCTCCGACTTTTTGCGGAAAAAAGTCAGGGGCTGGCAACCCTTCCCCACCACCGGCTAGGGTTAAGAAAAGAATCCATTGAGAGCCCTGTGAACAAATGAAGTTTCCATGAAGATGAATAAGACTGTAGAGTGTACCTATGTAGATACAAACTGATAGGATTCGAGTGCAATATTTTCAAAGTTTGGTGGAGATATCATAACGTCAGTATTCCTAATTTGAGGTCGTCGGTGCCGTTTTGCTGGACTCGCGATTTTTGCGATAATCTGCGCACCTAATCCCTCGGGAACTGTACTGTCCATTCCCACCTGCTCCTCCAACAGTGGCTAATTAACACATATTTATCATATTTGCAATACATCTTAGTTATCCATGCTGCTTCCAATACCGACCTTCCTCCATCTTTTCGCGTATTTGTGAACTGTAGGAGGGACCTCTGCTCCCGTAAACATTACCCGTGGACTCTGAGAGACAAACACCTCGCCATGCACTGCTGACTGATGATCGTTGATATGCTTAATAGCCCCTGCATGCAGTTATGTACTCTGACTCTGACTGTGTCGTCCCTTCTGTCGCAGGTGCGTTCCTGATTCCGTACCTGCTGACGGTGGCCACGTGCGGCGTGCCCATGTTTCTGCTGGAGGTGTCACTCGGCCAGTACCTCTCCATCGGCGGCCTCGGAGTGTGGAAGATATCACCTGCTTTCAAAGGTGAGTTCAACCATCGGTTCAAGTGTCAGCCGCGCTCGACCTCCCCCCCCCCCCCTAAAAAACCGGTAGTCCTCATACAGATGGCACTGCTGGCTGCAGTTTAGAGGGTGTTGAGACTAGTTATGTGAAACAGACAACTGGTTAATCAAGTTCTCCTCACTTTTTCCATTGAGGTATTCCTGCTCTTCATCTGTTCAAGCGTGCATCGGCCTTTATCTTGTCATGGAAGCTTGGTAATGTCGATCAAACTGATGTTATCCATGGTCAATATTTGGCGTTGCATTGCCAATTCGGTTCCCCAATCACTGGCTATCCGTCAACCCGACTAACTTTTATTGGACGTCTTTCACTAGCGCTCAAGAAATGCAGCTTTGCTGACTGAATCAGGATAAGCTCAATGTACCTGGCGGTTTATTTTCGATAACAGCTTGCAGACATATAAATCGTGATCAACGTAGCACAAACAAATGATGAACATGTCGAACTGTAGTGTCGAACAAAAAAAATGTCCAAGAAGTCTAAATACGACTGATACGGGTTTGGTGTACCTATGCGCTCTGCCCGTGAAGAAAGGTGTTATAAAACGCTCATCATTTCAGCATTTCTCAACACACAGATAAGTTCAGCATTTATTGGAGCTGTTAAACTGCCAGAGACGTTTCTTTGTCTTGATTTTGTTCGTCAATGATTGTCCTTATGTTCGACACCCTGATGCTGTTCAAACGAAAATATTCCATCCTCTCTTCATTTCCCGCCGTCTTGGGCCAACTTTCAGCACCTTGTCCTTATCCTCTCCAGTCACCAAAGTGGGCGTCACCTCAGCGCTTCCCGCCCCGCGGCGGCGCGGCTCTGAGTCCGCAGGCCGCCCGGGCAGACGCCGTCGGCTTCCATTCGGTATTAGGGTCCCCTAATAAAGTTTAGTGGCCCCTCTGGAGTGTGAACTGTGAAGACCAGCTGGGTCGGAGGTGGGTTGGGGGAGCGGCAGTCCGTGGGGAGGGGCGAGGGCGGGGAGGGCGAGGGAGGAGACGAGAGGACAGACGTCAGTCAGTGAGAGGGGACGACGGTGACAACAGAGGCGGGCCGCGAGTGGCGCGTCTGGTGGCGTGATTGCGCGTGTGTGGTAGGATAGCGTGCGTGTGCTGGCATCACGCAGCCTTTATCGTGCACGGTACGGTGGTGAGAGCCAGAGCGGGACGCGGACCATGGACTCCGCGCAACACTACGGACCCGGCACCGTTGGAATGGCAGGTGGGTCCGGTCCGCCGGTATCTGCATCGTAACCACGTGCTGTGTGCAGTGTCGGCTGTATGTATCGTGTTCGGCGACTGACCTGGGAATGTTAGGTCAGTTCGGTACGAGGCCTGGCAGAGGCCGGTTCGGACAGAGGCCGGTTCGGTGAGGCCGGTGCGGACAGAGGCCGGTTCGTGAGGCCGGTGCGGACAGAGGCCGGTTCGTGAGGCCGGTGCGGACAGAGGCCGGTTCGTGAGGCCGGTGCAGACAGAGGCCGGTTCGTGAGGCCGGTGCGGACAGAGGCCGGTTCGTGAGGCCGGTGCGGACAGAGGCTGGTTCGTGAGGCCGGTGCGGACAGAGGCCGGTTCGTGAGGCCGGTGCGGACAGAGGCCGGTTCGTGAGGCCGGTGCGGACAGAGGCCGGTTCGGCGAGGCCGGTTCGGCGACTGACCTGGGAATGTTAGGTAAGTTTGGTACGAGGTCTGGCAGAGGCCGGTTCGGACAGAGGCCGGTTTGGTGAGGCCGGTTTCGGCGACTGACCTGGGAATGTTAGGTCAGTTCGGTACGAGGCCTGGCAGAGGCCGGTGCGGACAGAGGCCGGTTCGGTGAGGCCGGTGCAGGCAGAGGCCGGTTCGGTGAGGCCGGTGCAGACAGAGGCCGGTTCGGCGAGGCCGGTTTGGCGACTGACCTGGGAATGTTAGGTCAGTCCGGTGCGAGGCCTGGCAGAGACGGGTGCGGACAGAGGCCGGTGCGGTGAGGCCGGTGCAGACAGAGGCCGGTTCGGCGAGGCGGTTCGGTGACTGACCTGGGAATGTTAGGTCAGTTCGGTACGAGGCCTGGCAGAGGCCGGTTCGGACTGCGGCCGGTTCGGTGAGGTCGGTGCGGACAGAGGCCGGTTCGGCGACTGACCTGGTAATGTTAGGTCAGTGCGGTACAGGCCTGGCAGAGGCCGGATCGGCGACGGACCTGGGAATGCGAGGTTCGCACGGCGGGCGACACGACGGGGTCTGAGGCCAGAGCGGCTCGGCGTCGGACGCTGGTTGCGGCGCCAACGGGCGTCGGTCAACGGGCGCGGCACGCCGCAGACGGCCTGTCACCGTCTGGGGATCCGCTGGTTTATGTCCACAGCTGGTTTATAAGCGCAGGTGTCCTTTTATGGCAAACCGTATCCAGCGCCGTCCGGGGCCGTCGCGAGGCGTGTTATATGACCGTGTTGGGGGACCGCCGCGCCGCGCCGGGCCGGCCGAGGCGGGGCGGCGGCTAGGCGGGGTCGCCGCCCTCGTTGGGCTCGGACGGTCGGCTGGGAGGAGGAGGGGGGTCCCGAGGGGGAGGGGAAGGCGAGACGAGTATGACAGTCCTGAGACAGTACAGGGACCGTCGTGCTGGCGAGCGAGTGGCCCGGGTTTCCCTGCCGTGGGTTATATGACCGTTGGGTGACCACCGCGCCGGGCCGGTCGCGGCGCGGCGGCTCGGCGGGGTCGCCGCCCTCGTTGGGCTTGGACGGTCGGCCGGGAGGAGGATTCCCCCCCCGCCCCGGGGGGGGGGGGGGAAGGGGAAGGCGGGACGAGTATGACAGTCCCGAGACAATACACGGACCGTCGTGATGGCGAGCGAGTCGACCGGGTTCCCGGCCATGAGAGGCATCCGTGTAACAGTAACGTGCCCATATAGTGGCGGTAACGCGTGAGTTGTTCCGAAATAGTCTGTGACCGGGCTCCCGCCGGGGCCTATGAGGCGGGTCAGCGTTGCTGCATTGCGGTCTGTAGACGGTACGGCCTGATTAGCGTGCCGGCTTCCGATGACACGCTCACTTACTTCGTGGGACATATGAGACGTGCGGGACTAGCAGTGGCCAGCGCGCGGCAGTATCTGGCAGCAGTGAAACGCCTTCATCTACAGTGGGGGCGGCCAATGGCGGTCGGGATACCCCCCTAACCCAGCGGCCGCGTTTCCGGGGCTACGGTGGGGCGGAGCCCCGCAGGCAGGCGCTCGACATATCCGCGCTTCGACGGCTGGAAACGCGTTTGGGGTCGTTATTTTCATCGGTCTTGGACCAGCGGTGCGTGTGGGTTGCATGCATGTTAGCGTTTTACGGCGGCCTGCGGAGCAACGAATTCCTTTTTCACCGATCACGGACGGGGTCTACGATATGGCGATGGGTAATTCACACCCGTTGGCATCAAGAATCCGGGTCGGCATTCAAACCAGCCGGCTGCGTGGACCGTCGACCTACGTTGAGCTCCCCACAACGGGCACGTCTACCTGTCCGGTGCGGGCCATGCGCGTGTACCACCAGGCAGGGGCTGCGGCAGACGGGGCGCCGCTCTTTACCCTGGAATCGGGGGCAGTGCTCACGCGGCGCAGTTTGAACAATATTTTTCGCCTCGCGCTCGGACCCGGGTTCTCTTCTCACTCCCTAAGGAGTGGTCTGGCCCAGACTGGCGCGGCGGCGGGTGTGTCCGACTCGGTACTGGACTGACTGGCGTACGCACTTACTTTGTGGGACATACTATGTATGAGACGGGCGGGACTAGCAGCGGCCAGTACCTGGCAGCAGCTGGCAGCAGTGAGATGCCTTCATCGCCTGTGGGCTCGGCCATTAGCGATCGGGCTGCCCCCCCCCCCCCTCCCAGCGGCCGCGTCGCGGGAACGCCGAGGCGGCGGGCCGGCGCATTGGGATCGTTGTTGTCATCGGCCCCGCGCTGGCCGCTGGGCGTCAACGGGCGGCGGTGACGCGAGCGGGCCGCCGCTTACAGCTGGTTATGACCGTTGGCCCCTTTTATGGCAGGTCGGCCCTCGGCGTCGGTCGGGACACCCTCTGGGGCTCGTGTCCGTGCACCTCATGTCTGTTGGGGGTGTCACGTGACTGACTATTGGAGTGTCACATATATCTGTGGGCTTCGGGCCGGCGCCCGCCGGCAGGCTCGGAGCGAGTGTCATATGCCTGTAGGGGGAGCGACGGAGCGCCCCAGGCGGCACCGCGGCCATAAACGCGGCGCGCCTTCGCTGGGCTCGGCCGGCGGGGGGTGGGGGTGGCGGTCCCTACCTGGAGAGGGGATGGGACAGCGGGACGTGTACGGCGCCTATTACGGCTGTTGAGACGGTAGGTACCCGCTCCGATCTATCGCCCGGGGGTGGTGGTCTGGAACACGCCAAGTCTGGGACAAGGAGGTCGGGACGGCGACTGACCTGGGAAGTAGGTCAGTGCGGTGAGTGGCGTGACCTGGCGAGGTCCAGACGGCATTGGCCTGGACAGTGGACAGTTAAGTGTTCGGTGATAAGACCTTGCGAGGTCCGTACGACATGCCCTGGGAAGTAAGGTCAGTTCGGGGACGTGCCTGGTAGAGGTCCAAACAGCGGTCGCCTGGAAAGTTAGGTCAGTTCGGTGACGTAACCTGGTAGAGGTCCGAACGGCGTATGCTCTGGAAAGTTAGGCCAGTTGGGTGAGCGATATGACCTGGCAGGAGCTCGGACGGCGACTGACCTGGGAGTTAGGTCAGTTTCGGTGAGTGGCTAGCCTGGCAGGGGTCCGGACGGCAATGACTTGGAATCTGGGTCGGTTCGGTGACATGGCCTTGCCCGCTCGACATGACCTGAAGAGTAAGGTTAGTTCGTTCGGTAAGTGGCGTGGTCTGGCAGGGGTCCGGACGGCAATGACCTGGGGTGTGTGACGTGGCCAAGTTAGATCTGGAAAGTTAGATTAGTCCAGTGACGTGCCCTGGCAGAGGCCCGGACGGTGACCGACCTGAGAGTTAGGGCGGTTCGGTGAGTGGCGTGACCTGACAAAGATCCGGGCGGCAAGGGCTTGGAATGCTCGGTCAGTTCGGTGACGTGACCTAGCAGGGGTCCGCTCGGCAATGCCCGGATAAGTTAGGTCAGGTCGGTGGCGTGGCCTGCCGTGTGTAAGCGTGTCCCTCGACGAGTCGCTCCGTCGTGTGACGTCCCAAGTAGCGGAATGTTCCTTGTCCCGCGACTTATGGCGTATCCCTGGATATACCAAGATGGTTAAACGTAAGCACGTGCTGATGGCGTTTGAACGATTTGGTTTATTGATGTTTCACCCAAGTGACCGTAATGTTTCATGCTTCTTAGGTATTCTGCGCTTAAAGTATCTGCCTGGGCATCCCCCATGCTATTATCACCATTATTTATATATATATACATAGCTGTGTCGTTTGAATATAAAGCTGGCCAGCCATTTGCTTTAGCCATTTCGACAGACACTCTTGCGACTTCACGTTGAGCACAAGAAAAAGATCCATCGAGTCAAGCTGCCCTGGTGTTTGAGGGGTGTCGATTGACACTGCCCTGGTTTTGAAGGGTGTCGATTCACACTGCCTTGGTGTTTGAAGGGTGTCGATTCACACTGCACTGGTGTTTGCGAAGGGTGTCTATTCACACTGCCCTGGTGTTTGAAGGGGTCGATTCACACTGCCCTGGTGTTGAAGGGTGTCGTTTCACACTGCCCTGGTGCTTGAGGGGTGTCGATTCATACAATTCCTTGGTGTTTGCGAAGGATGTCGATTCACACTGCCCTGGTGTTTGAAGGGTGTCGTTTCACTCCGCGCTGGTGTTTGCAGGGTGTCGATTCACAATGCCCTGGTTTTTTGAAGGGTGTCGATTCACACAATTCCCTGATGTTGCAAAGGATTCACACTGTCATGGTGTTTGAAGGGTGTCATTCAAACTGCCCTGGTGTTAAAGGGCGTCGATTCGCACTGCCCTGGTGCTTGCGAAGAGTGTCGATTCATACTGCCCTGGTGTTTGAAGGGTATCGATTCACACTGCCCTGGTGTTTGAAGGGTGTCGATTCACACAATTCCTTGGTGTTTGCGAAGGGTGTCGATTCACGCTGCACTGGTGTTCGAAGGGTGTCGATTCACACTGCCCTGGTGTTGGAAGGGCGACGTTTCACACTGCCTAGTGTTGCGAAGGATGACATTCGTTGGGTGAGCACTGCGCCTTGTGTGATGGGCCACCGGGCATTCAAATAGCACTTTTTCTACTCTCGAGAACCAGTCCTTCTGGTAGCTTAACGAGGAGAATCTGAGTGTGCCAATCTCCTACCATTACCTGTCGGTTCCAGTTGGGGCTTTTGGTGGCGGATGAGGAGCGCAACCGAAAAATGGGTGAGTACGGCCAACAACAGCCAAACTGGAATGGGTCGCAGCACGGGACACAGTAGCGACAGAGAGGAAACACTAATCGGTATTAGGGTCCCCTAATAAAGTTTAGTGGCCCCTCTGGAGTGTGAACTGTGAAGACCAGCTGGGTCGGAGGTGGGTTGGGGGAGCGGCAGTCCGTGGGGAGGGGCGAGGGCGGGGAGGGCGAGGGAGGAGACGAGAGGACAGACGTCAGTCAGTGAGAGGGGACGACGGTGACAACAGAGGCGGGCCGCGAGTGGCGCGTCTCCCACCCCCCATCCCCAACGGCGCCAATGTCCTCAGCATTGTCTCCTCCGTCTCTTTTTCGTTTTTTTTTTATTACTTCTCTCCCCCTCTCGTCCGACGTCGTCTCACCCACGGTTGTGGCGGATGAGGAGCGCAACCGAAAAATGGGTGAGTACGGCCAACAACAGCCAAACTGGAATGGGTCGCAGCACGGGACACAGTAGCGACAGAGAGGAAACACTAACCATCAGTTCTCGGCCGGTTTTGCTGCCGGCCGTCGAGCCCAGGCGAGGGCGGCGGCTAATGGGTGCCGGGCGACGCCACGCGTCACTTTATGGTGACGTCGGTGCAGTAATGGAGACAGCTGGGAGAGCTGCCACCGGGCAGATAGGCGCGCGGCCGCGGCGGCCGGAATCGGACCACCGCCAGCGACGGCAGCGAGAAAGACGAGCGTCGGAGACGACAGCCCGACGGCCGAGCCGAGTTAGAGCCGGCGGAGACAGGGTGGAGATTGGTTGAGGCCGAGTGGGATCAGCACAGCGCTGAGGAGAGATGGAGGTGGCAGCGGACGAGACGAAAAAATGGATAAAGGCACCGGGACCAGCCGGAAGCATTTGAGAACGGGAATAGATCACGCGGAGGCTCGACCGATAGAAGAGCTGGGGTTGGCTGGAAATCGGCGATTGGTTATAATTAAATGGTCTGAAGTAGATTTTGATCATGCAATTAGAAGAAGTGGAGCACATTTGAGTCGACTGATGAGAAACTTAGACAAATGGCCAGCGCAGAGAGAGATGAAAACATTTGATTTGATTGGTTTAAGCCAGTTGGACGGCCTGCAAAAGGAAGGAAAAAACGCCTCAGGCATAGACTGAAAAATGAAAGCAGTGACAGGAGGAAAGCTGACTGTCGGGTGTATGCCTATGTCACATTTACATAGATACAGAGAGAAAATCCGGATATGAGCTGTGGCATAATTCGCCCGTCACCATCTGGTCCACCCATTGGACGTTTTCATGGCTGTCTGGCTGGCGGTGACGCTGCACTAAGGCCCAGCGCAGCTGCACTACGGCTCAGCTCAGTGGTGGCGCAGTGGCGGACCGGGCCCGTATTCCTCCAGGGCAGCCGGTGCGTTGGGGTTTGCAGAACGGGGGGGGGGAGCGGGCTTGGGGGCGGCATGAGTTCAGCGATGGGACAGCTGGGGCTGCAGGATAGTGACTCAGGGGTAGCGATGGGTCACGAGACAGGGAGGGCTCAGGGGCCGCGGGGCTGTACTGGGAGCTGGAGGACGGGGAAGGGGGCTCAGGGGTCGCAGGGTCTAGTAGTCGGAGCTGCAGGGGACTCGAGGGCAGCGGTGAGGTCACGATGGGCTGTAGTGGGATCTGCAGGATGGGTGGAGGGTGGGATGGGGGAGGGAGGGAGGTCAGGGGCAGCTGGTCTGTAGTGGGAGCTGCAGAACAGTGGCGGGGGGGGGGGGGCAGGGGTAGCGGCACGGAGAGGCGCCCGCCGGGCGCCAGCTGTCGCTGACGGCGCTCGGCCGGCGTGGATTACCGTAACCAATTGGCAGCGTCCGCTTCCGCTCCGCCCAATACGCTCAATCAGGCCTCACACCAGCCTCTTTCACATTCACATCGCGCGCAGGCGGGCGCCGCTAGTGCCGCTAGACACCAGGGAAATGCAGAAAAGGCTTGGAAGGAAAAATAGAAACAGAGAAAGGGTGGATGACTTTAAGGCTGGAATGGTGCTTCAGATGGTAAAAATAATACTGCACTGCAAGTATTGGTATATAATGATCTATGGTGCAAGGAAATAGGAATAATAAGATAAGTAGCTCATGACAAAGGAACGTCATTATTCTTACCATATGTCGTGTCCTACCTATATAACCGCAATGTTCAGCGCATGCCGTAATTACCTATGTTTCAGTAGCCCTACGCATCTTGGAGGTCACCAGGCTGCTGTATCATGTTCTGTTTTCTTTTACAGGGGTGGGCTACGGCGCCGTTCTGCAATGCATCTGGCTGGACAGCTACTACATTGTGGTCATGTCATGGGCGCTGTTCTACTTCTTCAACTCCCTGACAGCATGTAAGGATGCGCGAGGGCGTCGTGGATTAACCTCCGACATATAACCCCGATATAAACTCCGATATTACAGTCATACTCAGGAGTTCATGCTCGACATTTCGATTCGACTATCTCATATTTGAGAGGGGCATCGGCCTCAAAACTGTCAGAAATGAAGCAGTACGTTAACGCTTTCTTTGTTACCTTCTGACTTCTGAGCAATTATTTATGATCAAATTGATCCGTGTGATCAAAGTGATATGATCCTCAATGCTTCTTGTATCTAAAAAGCTGATCACCGTTTTTTCTTACTAACTCGATTGTGCTCGAGCTTGATTGCTTATTGTTGTCTAAACAAACCGTTTTCCATTGAAGAAAAGTGGTTCGATTAACGAGATATCACCCCTCCCTCGCTAAGCTGCGGGGGAGTTAGTTCTTTAACGAACGCCGGTCTACCCTATTCCCGTCTGTGCTGCAGCGCTTCCCTGGGGCAGCTGCGGCAACTACTGGAACAAGCCGACGTGCTCCAGTCCCTACACGAGGAAGTCACTAGACTGCTGGACGGAGCAGATCAACAGCACCTTCAACTCCACCTACTGCATGGTCGGCAAGAACGCCATCCTCGAGAAGGACCTCAGCGATCCCGTCCGAGAGTTCTGGGAGTAAGTGTATATAGTTTTTTAGTAATTGTTCAGAATTTCTTTGGATGCAAGTGCTTATAGTTTCTTTGGAAATAATTGTTCAGCGTCTCTTTGGTTGTATGTTCTGAGGGTTTTTTAGGCGTAAGTGCTCAGCGGGAGTATGTAGGTGCTCAGAGTTTCTTTGGGAGTAAGTGCTGACAGTCTCTCTGGGAGTAACTGTTCAGAGTTTCTTACAGAGTAACTGTTCAGAGCCATAAAAAGATGTTGAGATCGCACCCAGCGACGACCTGCCGATGTCTGGCGACCCCCGCGGCGGCGGGGTACCGCTGTGACCGGGCGCCGACCTGTGTTACAGGGGTCGGACCCTGAACATCACCGACGGTATCGAAGAGGTCGGTGAGGTGCGCTGGGAGCTGGCCGGAACGCTGGCACTGGCCTGGATCATCTGCTACTTCTGCATCTGGAAGGGCGTCAAATACACCGGCAAGGCACGTGCAGATGTTCCTAAGTGCATTGTTTATTTTTTTCAAAATCGTTACAAAACGTTGTAACACGTGCCTTTTAGACGTCTCTAGTAAAAATGTCTACAGGTGATGACAACCATTTTCTTGCCCTACATATACGCTATTAAGATTTTAGACTTTTAATAATTTAGCTTGTGCGCTGCATTAAATCATTAGAAAGCCGTTTCGTGGCACGACCATAACTCCACACTTCTTGTGGTGAGAAACAGGATGTAACAAAGTGACGTATGACGCTGCTTTCAATCAATGGGTCCAAAATTGTTTTTACTTTTTACTAACGACCTTATGTCTCATTTACCCAGTGGCAAGCAGGTCATGTACGCCGATGACATTCAGTTTATTGAATCTGATACGGTTTCTAATTTGGACGACCTAAAACGGCGTATGGAGTGTACTTTGGAGGTGGCTCTCCGATGGTACACCCAGAACAGGCTAAAAATCAACCCAACTAAGACTGAACTTTTGCTAGTAAAGCCGCAGAGAAAAATATGTAGTGTAAATTTTACTATTGACTTTGGCATTTGCGAAATTAAACCTAGTCACGAGATCAAAATTTTAGGTGTGTTCTTTGACTCTTCACTGACCTGGGAGAAGCAGGTGTCGTTGGTGACCCGCCGCTGCTACCATGTACTAGTCGGCCTATCTAAGTTGAGACATAAGCTACCGTATGAAGTAAAAAAGATGCTTATCGAGGCCCTTGTATTCCCCCACATAATGTACTGCTGTACCGTCTGGGGAGGCTGCTGCGCAACCCAGAGGCGACGTGTGCAGAAGGCCATTAACTTCGCGGCGCGCATTGTAACAGGACTGTCTAAACGCGACCACATTAGCGCAGCTCTGGAAGCTCTCGAATGGCCGAAGTTTGACAAGATGTTGGAGGACCGAGACATAGCGATGCTGCGTAGGATTCTCTCGTCGGATGCGCCGCCATCTCTAGCTGGACTCGTGATGCGTCGCTCTGATGTGAATAGGAGGCTCACTCGCGGCACATGTGGGGATCAGCTGGACCTGCCTAAAATTAGAACAGAGCGAGCTAGGCGTACTTTTCATTTTAGAGCAGTAAAATCGTGGAACGGTCTCCATCGTTAGCTTTCTGGCAAACAAGCTGTGATGTATTTTGTGATGATTTTTTTTGCGCTGCTCACTTTTATTTACTTTGTCTACTTTTTACCCGCGTATTGTGCATTCTTAACTTCACATTTTGCCATCTGAGTATCTTACTGGTACAGACAATTCTCTTTACTTTTATACTTTGCGTCATTCTTATTGATGTGTGTTTTATACCCACTTGTAGTTTTATAGATTGTGAATGATTGTATGACGAGAGCACTGAAAAACCATTCACATGGAGGACTCAATACATGATTGATTGATTGATTGATTGATTGATTGCTTTGCCTCGTTTCCGTGGGTTGTCTGGTTTTATCCGGTTAGCCGGCAGACGGGCATAGCTCCGGCACATGTGCAGCTTTGCAGCTTAATTGGACTGTAAGCAAGGGACTAGCAGTCGTGTACAGTCGTAGATGTTACAGCCGTTTTAATGGCGTTAGCTAAGGCACTGAATACGCATCAATGCTCTCCGCCTGTCGCTATCACCTGACGTCATTCTCTGTTCCACAGGTTGTGTACTTCACGTCACTGTTCCCGTACGTGCTGATGTTCATCCTTCTGATTCGAGGTGTTACCCTGCCGGGCGCCATCGAAGGAATCAAGTTCTACGTGATGCCCGACATCAAAAAGCTCAAAGAAGTAAAGGTGAGAAGATAGCGGTAACTGGGTGCTGTTACTCGGAAAGCTGGAAGTTATTATTCTGTCTACCGAGGTTAAAACCGCAGCCGTCTGAGGTGTTTAAGCATATCAACTCAGTTGTGTGGGTTGGGGAAGTTAATTTCTTACTTAACTTCTTACGGAGGTGGGGAGGGAAGTTTCGGGTCCCCGGCTGGTTTTCCGCTCTGTTCGAAATACTTTTTGCTCAGTTAGAGGGGACGGTGAAAAGCTCATGACATCCATAACAATAGCAGCTACTCTATCACCAACGGCAGCGAAGACATGTTGTCGATAAATACCTGACATACCTGTCTGCTCAGGCCAGGTCAGATTCGATTGCAACGACGGACTTGTGTCCCATTTCAGGTGTGGATCGATGCAGCCACCCAAGTGTTCTTTTCCTACGGACTGGCCCTCGGCTCGCTAATCGCTCTCGGCAGCTACAATAGGTTCAATAACAACGTCCACAGGTGAGTAAAACTTTTCACGCACTGTTGTGTCTGATCTCATCACCAGTTCGATCGAATGAGATAAAATATGTGGAATGTGGGGGGGAACTATACAACTTTGCTTTATAGCAAAACTGATGCAACCGGCAACGAAAAACTTCATGCTACAGTAAGGTTTATACATAGTGCGTACTTTGCTATATAAATTGTTTTCAATGCTGAATTTCCCTATAACTATGCGAGAGGAAGAGTTAACGTGACATTTGAATGTGTGCGTTTTCTCGACAGAGACGCGATGCTGATATGCACAATAAACACCTGCACATCGATATTTGCCGGCTTCGTCATCTTCTCCGTCATCGGATACATGGCCACCGTCCAGGGAAAATTAGTGGAAGAGGTGGCGAGAGGAGGTAGGTCCGAGGGACTATCGGCGGCGAACTTTCCATCGGTATAAAAAACAACAAAACATGCATTAAAAAGTTGCATGAAATGAACAGTAGATATAATTCCACGTGGTGGTACAGAAGCATTGATTTTCATTTCCTAAGAAATGTCCTGAACTTTGAGAGACATCAGCACGACATCGCTGATGGCATGTTGCTTTCCCAATATGTAGAGGGTCATAAACTGTGACGACTAATGCAGCAAGATCTCAATTGTTATTATATTCTTTTTTACAGGGCCGGGGTTACTGTTCCTGGTGTACCCGTCGGCCATCCTGGAGCTTCCTATCAGCCCGATGTGGTCGGCACTCTTCTTCCTGATGGTGCTTATGCTCGGTCTGGATTCTCAGGTAAGATGCAAGCAATTTTCCACTTACACCTTTGTCGGAATAAGAGAATTGACGAAGCGGGAAACTAACGGGCCTACCTTGCTGCCTTTTCATTGCAGTTAATGGAAACCTTTGGTTCATTTCATTGCTATAATTTTACATAAAATTTCACACATTTGTCTTTACGACGACTTCCGCATGTTAAGTGCTATATACTACACATACCATCGCGACCATGCCAGAGCTTGTATAATTTATTGGGCTACATCTACACGCAATTTTCATTTTCATTTTCGTGCAGCTAACAAGAGATCATTATCATTTACTCTCTGCAAGCTCACATCCACTGACCAAACCTGACACCATCGTTTGCTTTCACTGTCCACAGTTCTGCACAATGGAAGGGCTGATTACGGCCATTGTGGACGAGTTTCCGTTTGTCCTCCGCCGTCCGGGCAGAAAGGAGGTGTTTATCGCCGTCTACTGCTTCTTGTCGTTCCTCATGGGGCTATCCATGGTGACACAGGTACGATACGTGGATGAACGCGGCCTAACAATGCCGTCATTGTTGCCGACTAGCCTTCTTTTTTATTGTTTTTGCTTTTTGTTCTTATCTTGCAAGCTTCACCAGCCTACTGTTATGAGTTGGACGTCTATATATGACGTCTATATATAGTTATAACTATGCAAACGCATTTCTAACCTAAACAGATTTACGTAATAGTGCTCACAGTTTACCTATGTGTATTTCTTTTGTTAATTGCATATTTTTTTTTTCAACTTGTCATCTGATAAATGTGGATGGATAGTTTCATGTTTTTTTCATTCTTTTTCAGGGTGGAATGTACGTGCTGGTAATATTTGAAGATTACGCCGCCTCCGGTCTGGCTCTTCTGACTCTCATCTTCTTCGAGTGTATTGCCATCGGCTGGGGCTTTGGTGTGAACCGCTACTTCGAGGCCATCAAAGAGATGGTCGGCTACTATCCGTTCCTGTGGTTCAAACTCTGCTGGACCGTGCTCTGTCCTGCCGTGACTCTGGTGAGATTAACAAACACTTTTAATCTAACGAAATCAACGCAAACAAATTTATCTGAAAATAGAATTAAGATGCTTTTATGCCATGGATTCTTAATTTTGTTGTGATTGTAAAGTGAAATAGTTCCTTTGACTTCATCAATAGGTAATTCTGTGAAAGGCTAACAATATTCTTAGTTGTGAAAAGTGCGTCCTACACTTTGACAGCTCGTGTTTTGTCTTTGCCCAGGGCGTGTTTCTGTTCAACGTGGTCAACTTTACACCTGTGAAGTACGTGGATTACGAGTACCCGTGGTGGGCCCACCTGATCGGCATCCTGCTCGGCCTCTCCTCCATGCTCTGTCCGCCGCTCTACCTGCTCTACTCGTACTGCAAGGCGCAAGGCACAATGAGAGAGGTGAGCCTGTCCTAAGTTTGCATTTGGATTGGTCAAGCTAGTCCGAGTCAAAATATTCCGGTGAAAGTAATGTATCAACTTATTTTTTTTTTCACATCTCATAGCTAACACAACTGCGTTTGTTTCAGCGATTCGCCACTATCTGTCGGCCTGAGTTAACGGATTTCAAAAATAAAAACGTCGGCAAGTTTGATTCGATGATTTAGCCTGCTGTAGCCAAACAGCACCAGCATCTCCTAGACAGAGGATCTGTGTCTCCGGAAGACTGGTGTTCAAGAAAGGACATTATAGAGTCTGTCGATGGAGATGCACATTGAGACTTTCCGGGGCTGCGTAGGTCCTTCATGTCACCATGTCGGCGAGGTTGGCTACCCACCGGACAATGGGCACTACGGACTCTAGGTCTCTGACCGAGGGCTTCATCGGACCCTCCCTGTGTGACAAACTGTCTCTTTCCCGCTGTCTTCCGACTTATGTACACTAGACATCGTCTTGTTGCGAGCCAGCTCACCACGTTTAGAGGATGTTTGTAGAGGTGATGCTATACTGTTGGCGTGCGCACAAACGTATACCGATTCCTCGAAAAATTTTGTACTTGAGATGAGACGGTGCCATGTCTAACCACTAGCTTTATAAAAGTTTCGTTAACGTTCCCCAACCATGAAGGGGAAGGCCAGTAGAATACTTGTTGAGTAGTTTCTAAAAAGCTGTCTAATGAGCCCAACCAGGTCAGTTTTGAACACTGAACCACTTTTTGGGTTTGCACAAAGTGGTAAGTAGTTGGTGTTGTTCTTACCCGTGACCTGTAGTTGGGCACTGGGTAGTTTGCTGGTACTGGTACATAGAGTTGCGCTCTGCCTACAAAAAGGCGCCGTGCCACAAGAAAACGGCGGGGCATGCGCCTTTCCTACTGGGCACGAATTGTGATGTAATTCAGATCACTGCTTGGTCTTCGAAACAAGTCTTCCAGTGAGCTATCACTAAGCGTCTTCCATTTTATGACGGCTTTGGTCAATGTTGTTGGTATTTCTTAACTTCGATGACTTTTCACTGTGGTTCATTCCAATTGTTACCCTCATACTTATCGCTTTTTCCACCTACGAATGGCCAGCATGATGCTGGTGCCCATTTGAAAGTGATCATGTGCCAAATAGGTTGTTGCATGCTTCCTGTTGCAATTCATACACGTAGGCTAGACACGTTAAAAATAGTCCTGAGTGGCTGCTTGACGATGAAGCGTCTAACGGGACATATGAGTAGTGATAGGACGAAAAGGATGGATGGGAGCTGGTGCTGGACAAGAAGGCCTGACATCTCTGGAAGAGATAGAGACGAAGTTCTTGTTCATATTAATCATTCCTTTCCCAGTTATGGTGTAGGTCTTGTGACAGATTATTGCGGATGATGAGTAGCAGGGATCATTTGAAGAGACTGGATACTGAATTTGGCAATAGAAATGTCAATACAAATAGGAAGTATAGACATTAGACATATTTGCGCAAACATTAGTGCGTCGCAGTCACTAGCTTCTTAGAGCGACTTTGAAAGACGGCACCATTTCAGGTTATAGGTCGAATTCAGTCCTTCATGGTGCAGGATAGACGATAAGCCAAATCCGCTGCTCCGTCGCTGTAAATTGCCAAAATTACAAGCGATTTAAAATCGTGAGACATGCTTGTTCGATGTGTGCGTGCGGACAGCATAGCTACGTAGTTTTAAAGTTCAACAGGTGAACGCCTTGGCGTTTTCTAGCCGGGTAGTACCCATATCATATATCATATCACGGAACAATGAAAACGCTGCTCGATTGAAGTTGTGAAGCAATAGCTCGACAAATTTGAGCTCAACAAAACCTTAGGCATATCATTGTTGGTGCGAATCTATCGTGGCACTCTGAATAAAGCAGCTAAAATGCGACTTTAATTAATCTATAGTTACATTAGTTATGTTATCAAAACTATTTTATGTATTCCCGCAGTGTTTACTGCTTTGTTTGAAGTGCCTTCCTTTGTCCAGCCGCGAAGGAAGGCTCTTCAGACATTGTAGGATGTCACACATTGTTTTTGGTATGCTTAGGGTCATCACAATTGAAGGCTTGTCTCAATATTATTTTCAGCTTTTGTACATTTTAGCTGATATGGCATATGCATACAAGCTGCAATATTGAAGGATTTCTTCCTCTTTTTACGATACATTTATGCTTTTCTTTCTCGAAAGTGGAATAAAACACATGCCAATGTAAAACCTATCTAATTGGTATTCCTCGTAAATTATTGGTTGACTTAAACAGTCGATTATTTGAAGCGTAACATTAAAAGTGGATTTGATTGTGGTCATCGTGATTACTGAGTGTGTTTGCAATGAGATGATTGGGAATGCAGGATGAATGCTGGTTTTGTGTTATGCATTTCGCAAAGCATCGCGTCGCTAAGCTAAGTTTATCTTGCTACAAGAGTACGTCGTGCTGGACTCGCGTTAGTTGATGTGCTGCTTTACAAAAATGCCCGCGGTGACCTAATATTTATCCAGCCATAAAAATGAGGTCATAGAGCGCATTTTGCTACATGATTTCATTTCCGAAAAATAATTGGGCATGAGTTCGAACGTAGTTCAAGCTTACCTGTGAGTGCGTTATACATTTGAAACATATTTGTAATCATATATCTATGTCCCCAAAGGTGTCATTTTTCTTCCTTTTAATAATTTGTCTGTGAGATTTAGTTAGCATTTTCCAAGCGTCCTCATTTCACTCATCGACCACACATCCAGTGTGTTTTATCTATTGTTACACTGTACATAAGCGTACCGCCGTACGTGTAGATGTTGTTGGTGTCTGAAGGACTTCTCCGGCCCTGTTCTGCCCTCTCCATGCGCTGACCTGAGAGAACCGCTGTGCACCTGTACCCGCGCTGGCCGTTGTGTCGTTCCGTGTTAGCTGTGCGGTGACAGGTAGGCTGTCCTCCCCAGTTGTCTGTGCCGGCCGCCAAGTAGCGGCTGACGGACCGGGCAGGGCCGACCGGCGCTGTGTGGCTGGTAGTGCCTGCCGGCCGGCCACAGGCGCCTCCCGCGGCCGTCAGTCAGGGCGTTCGAGCCGGCCTCGAGCGCTGCGTCGCTCTGGGTGTGCCCCCACCGGCGGTAGCTCCCCTCGCGCGGACTGAGCAGGTCTCAGCCGCTCCCGCACCGCGCTCAGTCGGATAGGGTTCCACTGGACCCGCCGGGCGACTAGCGTGCCACTAGGGGTGCATGCAGTGGTTTAGTCTGGATCTGCATTCTTTTCTCTTCCAATAATACACGACAAAACTCGCATTGTGTTTGGCATGAGCTGAGTGAGCTCGTTCCGGATAAACGAGTCTGATTTGCTGACCTATAACGTGACTAGGGAGCGAACTATTGAAATCGAGTTCCACAGGCGTTGACGCTGTCATCCATGTCATACTCCCTATAGGCTGCACAGTGCACACAAACATGCACCGTTCAATGTGACCGCGATAGCTTTCACAGATATCATGCGTAACTGGTTAGCGCAATGTTTTCACGCTAATATTAGTCTGCATATCTTGCGATGTCAGTGCAAGTTTGCATAAGATAGGGGGACACTGATATTAGTGGCTCTAGTGCGTGTCCCGATGCTTTCATACTTTCATGATAACCGTTTGTAATGCATCATTCTCCTTCCCCTCCCGTTGCGCACGGCTCTCCGCAATCTCGGGGCCATGCGGTACAGTATACCTTCAGGCGCTCACCCGTGCTGCCATCTAGCGGGAGAACTGTTAGCTAACCGGCCTTGCGTACCGCGGCTCCGGCACGCCGAAAGGGAGAGAGAGAGAGAGAGAGAGAGAGAGAGAGAGAGAGAGAGAGAGAGAGAGAGAGAGAGAGAGAGAGAGAGAGAGAGAGAGAGAGAGAGAGAGAGAGAGAGAGAGAGAGAGAGAGAGAGAGAGAGAGATTCGCTACTCACGCGCAGTCTTCATTCATCTCCACAGCGTCCTGCCAGACATCCGAGAAGTGGCCATGAGCGAGTTGGAGCTGCTTGGCGCGCCTGTGCACGACGACCAGGTGCGACGTAAGCTTCTACAAGGTCAGCTTATGGTGGAAAAGCTCATCAGACGGCTGCAGGCCCTGGAGGAGGCACACCAGGCATTCTTCTTGCTGAAGAGCTACGTCAGCCTTCCTCGCGTTTTGTACCTCTTACGAAGCTCCCCGGCCTATCGCCACCCTGCCCTGCTCGTCAAGATCGACGAAACCGTTCGCTGCGGCATGGAGGCAATCACGAACGTCCGACTGCGAGGCGACTCATGGCGGCAGGCGACGCTGCCCGTCAATCTCGGCGGACTTGGTGTGAGGATGGTGACTGACGTGGCCCTTCCTGCCCACATCGCTTCACAAGTGGCCTCCGCTGACACGATCGCAAGTATCTACGGCTCCGCCGCTGCTCGTGTCGGTGAGGCGACGCGATGCCTGGTCGAAGAGTGGGAGGCTCACACTGGTCTGCCGTCGCCAGATGTGTCCAGACAGCGCTATCAGCGTGACTGGGACCGAGCAGCAGCAGAAGCGATCAGTCGGCAGCTGCTGGATGACTGCACGACTGATGTGGACCGGGCGCGGCTCCGAGCTGCCGCACAACCGCACTCCGGCGCCTGGCTGAACGCCTTCCCAGCAGCCAGCGTGGGCACGCTGCTCGACCCAGACACCCTACGAACAGCCGTCGCCTTGCGGGTCGGCGCAGAGGTCTGCGCTCCCCATCGCTGCCGCTGCGGAGCGGACATCGACGAGCGCGGCCTGCACGGCCTCAGCTGCCAGCTGAGCGCCGGCCGATTCCCCCGTCACGCTGAGCTCAACAGCGTGATTAAGCGCGGACTCGCGGCCGCTGGACTGCCATCGGTTCTTGAGCCGGCTGGCTTGGACCGCGGTGATGGACGACGCCCGGATGGCATCACAGCTTTCCCCTACGCAGAAGGGAGGTGCCTCGTCTGGGATGCTACCTGTGTGGACACATTCAGCGCCTCATCAGTCGCCGCGTCAGCAGCCCGGGCAAGCGCAGCCGCGACCGCCGCCGAGGGACGCAAACGCCGGCGGTATGAGGCCATCAGTCGGCGCTATCTGTTCCGCCCGGTCGCCGTGGAAACATCCGGAGCACTGGGCTCGGACAGCTGTTCTTTTTTAAAGGACCTCGGCCGACGCATCGTGCAGGTAACCGGAGACCGGCGGGACATGGAGCGCCTCATTCAGCGGATATCGGTGGCAGTGGTCCGCGGAAACGCCACGGCCATACGATTGGCGGGAGCCCACGACAGACCTGACGTCAGAACTGCTGTCACCAGCTTTGACAGAAGCGGTGGCGACAGCCGTGGAAACAGCCACGACGTGGACCGCTGCAGCAGGAGCAGCTGCGGCGAGAGCAGCGATGAATGCGGCGGCGGCAGCGGCCGAGGAAGCGGCGGCGGTGGAGGTGACAGAAGCACTGGTGAGATCAGCGACGGCTGCGACAACACTGGCGAAGGGAACTGCAGCGTCGGCTGCAGCAAGGATTCAGCGACAGCTTTGCGACCCGGTCCAGTGATGCCAGTCCGTCCATCTGCAGGGAGTCGCAGTGAGGAGCCTAGCAGAAACCCCCTAGATGACCCAGACCTGGCCTACTACCTGCTGCCCCGCCGCGAGTCTCCACCGCTTACGGATGCGGACTCGCCGACGACGCAGCAGCTCGCCGAGCAGCTGTTATGCCTCTCTCCCAGCTTGGCACAGGACACGCCCCGACCGCCGCGCCCCAATGCGCTGACCGCATATGCCGCGCTCCTCGCAAAGATGCGTGAGAGCATCCGCGACCACGGCGCTGCTCCAGAACCGCTGTGAACGGTAGGCGCACAGGTGCAACTCGAAGCACACACTCAGTGCTCTCCGGGGCCCGCGTTTTTTTATCGTGTGTCGTGGAATTGTCATGTGTCATTTGTCCGTCCTTTTTAAGTAATCATTCTTTCTGTAACTGTAACTTCATCAAATGTTCAATGTGTCGATTGATCAATATATTCTAGATCAATCTCTTCATTCATTGTTCCATATGGGACAGCGAACATCAAATGAATCAGCAGTTGCCAAAAACTAATATTTTTCGTTGTGCCGTTGCTTTTTTTATTGGTATAATTCATAATGCCTGATAGCAGCCGGCCTTTTTCCATTGCTTCTTTTCCCAGTAGATACACAAAATTACACTAGAATACAGAACTACCGGAGCATCAGCCAGCAGCTCCCATCCACATATGTCATGAGCCGGACCTGCGCAACTATCAGCTTTCTTCATTCCACGGCATCTCGGCACCATCCACCAACCGTCCCCTCATCTCCCGTCACTAGAACAGCTCATCAGCCGCCTCGTAAGTGCCATCACCGCCATCCCGGTAATAAAACAGACTCAGCTCGGGGTCCAACTCATCCCGCTTCGCCTTCAGCTCTCGCTCCTGATCGCCCGAGCCGGGCTCGGCCGCGAAAATCACGTCAGCCTCGAGGAAGGCGAACAGGTCCTCGGCGCTGTTGACGTCGACGTTGTCGTTGTACACGCTGATCTGAGTCCACGGGAACAGGTCGGGCAGCGGCATCACGCTCCAGAAGTCTCCCAGTTGGCTCGGCACCGAGGGCAGTATGTACAGGTTCTGGCGCACCTCCTCAGTCACTCGCTTGTAGCTGCCGGCGGGAGGAAAAAGGCTACGATAGAAACAGTCTGGAGCAGAGTCCGAAACAGGTATCGGGGAATAAGTATATAAAACATTGGATTTTATTGATGCAAGTTCGATGGCCTATATATCGAATTGGAATATACTGTAGTGTAGATATATTGGTAATATTAGCCATGAATACAGGAGTAAGTCCTTGTTTTTAGTTCCATGATAGTAGTTAACTCTATTTATCCGCCGTCTCGCTCCCGAGGAAAAGGCTGGCGCGTGTTCAGGAATTGTATTCGTCAGGCATGAGGCAACACAATGGTCAGTCACAAAGCCAGCCTTTGTGAGGTGACCCGCCCACACGATATAACACTATGCCTTGGCGAATACCTTCCGAAAATGACGGACCAAACAGGAATCCGTTTTCCCAAATGACAGATATGAGATAACTCTGAAATCGCTGAAACGTATGCAGACGAGCGTACCCGCATGGGACTGCATACCATATACAGATACAGTCTTCATAAAACATGGCATAACGTACATTTACAGCATCGCGTTATACATTATATACAGTATACACAGGTGGCAGTCGGGGTGGGGGTGGGGTGGGATGCTGGTCGCGACCGCTCGGCGCGCCGTCCAGTGAGCGAAAGAGCCTCCGGCCTCGTCCCGGCCGCCGCGGTCGCGCGCCTGACGTCACGAGGTCAATCCTCGGAGCTAGAGCGTCCGATAAATGAGTGTTCGGGTACGGTGCCTGCCCGTCCCGAAAACTAACCCTCGCCGGCCGAGGGGGGGGGGGGGCGGGTGCCGCCCCCCCCATAGGGTTTTTTTCGCGATAGCTCCGAACACGCTGGCGATAGAGAGCTGAAACTTGGCATACCTGACCTTTGATCCAAGCCGCATCTTTTGACACCAACCGCATTTTTGGGTCAGGTCAGGTCACTGACCTATGACGTAATAAGTGAACCTCTGCACGGTCTTCAGATGTCGCAACTTCGCAACGCCCTCACTGCCAGAGGAGATGTCACAGGGAAATGAAACTTGCAGGATCTAGTATCCATTATGAGTCTCACAACTTGTATATCTCGGATTTTCCCTAAAGGTCATATGAGGTCAGGTCATTTTCGTGACCTCACCATTATAAGTCAATGGGGAAAAATTCAAACTGCTATTCTGGCGCCGGGAACGATCTCCAACTATCTCAAGCACACAGAATCGTGATTTGATGCACTCCTTGCAAGGTTAGATGCGTCACTTTTGCAATGTTGACCTTCCGTGACGTCATTTATGACGTCATCAAGGTCATATTAGTTTTTCGTCAACAACTCCCGATCAAATTGAGCTAGCGAGTCGGGAAAGCCACCAATGGACTCAGGAAGACCTGCCGAATCGAATGATATGCGACATGACCTCTTTCGACCAACTTCGTGACCTGGGGGTGCTGACCTGACCTTGACCTGAGGTCAACACCCCAAGTTGACCTGACCCGGACAAAAAGTATATCATTCGACGCGCCTGATCAAGGCGAACACGATGCTGCCAAAATCGCGGCTCTGCGGCCGTTTTTTGCGAAGTTATTCACCAAAAACTGAACCGTACCCTGGGGCACTTGACCTGACCTCAGAGGTCACCGGTTGACCTAGGACCTTAAAATTGGGTACCAATCTCTGCGTCTCGTAACGGCGCACACGCTCGTTTTTTCCGCGACGCGCTAGCTCCACCAGGGGCGAAACGGCGAGGGGGGGTCGTACCCGCCCCCCCCCCTCGGCCGGCGCGTATGTAGAAAACCAATAGGTCCGGCGAGGGCTAAGTGAAATTCATAAGATTGCAAAAAAACCTTACTATTTTTCCGCTAAATCGAAAGCATGGGATCGTTATGAATCGCACCATTGTATCTTCAGCTGCCTGATACCATTTACCATGCATTTTACCAAAGAAGAGTGGTGGATGCGAACCACGCTATCTGCGCGGTAGCCCGTGACCACGCAAAAAGGAGCGACGATGAATAACAAAGGACCACCCTCGCCTTATCTGTCTGCGCTTCGCCGCCCCACGCACCGATGAGCTAGTGCAACCTCATGTGCTCGATAACTTCATTACTGTTCTTCATACCCCGGCCATAAATCATGCTTCTGAACCGCATTGAGTAATCTTAAATCGACAGCCGGTGATCAGAGCTGCCGTTCATCTTGGACATGTTTCACGGGATAGAGTCAACAATTTATGACCCGGCTTAGAATACCACGTTTGCTCTACTTCCGAGATTCGCACCAACTGCGAATAGCAAACTTAGCAAACCCTCCTCACCTTAGGCATAAAATGGATTGAACATATTTTCTATGTTCCGATTCGTGGCGCTCAATGTTTTGTAATACATTTTCTAAATTTAATTTGCTCATTACTACGAGCACATACTTAAATACCGCTAATACTCCAACTCCCACATCATGCCCAGTGCGTATCAGACCACCGGCCTTACTCACATTTGCTCCTCCTCTGAGATGGGCTCGAGCTCCTGGTACGGGTCGTCGGTAAGGTTATACACCACCGTCCTGCCCGGGCAGAGCTGGCAGTCGGCCGACAGGTACACCTTGTAGATGGACGGGTCGCCAGCTGCCGGCGAATTCAGACAGCGTAACGAGCGGGACTCACACAGCAAGACTCGTTCTGAACTGATGGGATACTTTTTATGTACCATAAATCAAAATATTGTTGCACATAACTCGAAAAGATGAAAAGAAGCTTTGATCGGATCGTTAACTCCATTGCTTCGGAAAACATAAATGTTTCCGTAAGTACGATGAAAAAAGTCAATCACTTAGAGTCAATTTTCAACTTTGTCCGTCCCGATAATCGGACTATTGCAATGCCATTAACATTTTTTTTGCCGGTTCTAATCTCCATCGTGGCCATAACACCCGAGTCCAGAACTGAACAATGCGGTTTCAGTAAGCCGTCAGTTCTGAAAGGCTTCAGATGTTTGAGTGGATATAGACAAATGTTCTTATGTAACGGCCTTTACCGTCCGCGCTCCGCTGACATTTACGGCAAGCATTAACGTCCAGGAACGAAATGCAAGAGACCCATAATGCAAAATGCTGGAACATTTTTTTTTATAAATATGCACTTCACGTGTGCATATTTTCGTGTGGGAATCATTCATGACACGCTAGTGCTCGAATGAAACACTAAGCCTATGTAGTAGACTCCTGAGCGTATTGTCAGCCATAGCGTCGCAACCACTCATGCGCCACTCACCCCCTGGGAAGACGAGCGTGGCGCTGTCGGGCCGGAGTCCTCTGTAGTTGAAATGCCGTGTCAGACTGGTCTCGCCACGGGTCAGCAGAGGAAAAAAACAGGCTGCGGCCGTCAATCGTCATGTTCAGCAGTTCCTGTGGGAGGTAAGTGTAGTCGCATCAATCGTGAGAAGTGACAAAGTCTTACATAATCCGCAACAATGTGGATTATATGCACTTCTGATTTGACACCTTAGCTGTTGACGTTGCTGGACGTTGCTTGACGTTGCTGGAGAATATAATCACAAAACCGTCATAACATTAGGCAGCACATATTCCTCAAGCAGATAATGAACGCTCCCATCTCCTTTACAAGATGTGACGCGACCCCAGTTAGCACCACGTGTCCCACCTCTCCTCTGCCGATGATGTCTATCAGGGTGGGCAGCAGGTCCAGTACAGAAGTCGGCTGGCGCATCACGTGCGGCTGCAGGGTGCCCGGCCACAGGAATATACCCGGCACTCGGCTGTCGGTGATGTTAGACACCGAGGATCCTGTGAGGGTCGGCGAACTTTGTAATCCGGGATGAAACATATCATGAGGCAGTGATAGACCGCAAGCAACTCGCTAAATCCCCTAAATCTATCACGTTTCGGACCCGTAGTATTTCTGACAGCTGAGCGCGGCATTGTTGAAGAAGAAGCATCCGGATGATGCAGTCGCGGTGGAAATAAAATGAGTAACGTTACGATCCCGACCAGTCAAAAATCGCTAGTTCCCATGAGCATCATTTGATACAGAAAAAAGAACATAGTCAATCCAGCCGTCTAGTACTAACGAAATGACATGAGGTCATTGTAGTCGGAGGCGAAATAGACGACGGTGTTGTCGAGGATGTCCAGCTTCTCCAGCTGGTCCAGGACGCGGCCGACGGCCCAGTCCAGCTCCAAGATGCCGTCGTAGTAGGGGTTGATGTTGCTGGCACCCACCCGGTGTGGCGCCGCGATACTGGGCTCATGCACCTGCGGCAAGGGCTCAGCATGAGCTATCAACACCAGGGGCAACAGGAAATGTGAGTTAAATCGCTACAACAGCTGATGCTGACCTACGGGATATGCAGAACTGACGTGAATAATTTAGTAGTAAATATATTTAACACCATAATTTCCCATCGCATCCGAAGCTGAGTAAGCGCCTACTCATTCCTGTGCTGAAATATAAACGATCAATTGATTTAATTTGTTCTTTAAACGTTTAAGCATATACATTGTTTTCTTATGACTGCAACTGGTGGCATCCGGCATCATAGCATCCTGGGTAGCATCTTCTGCATACCTGCCACAAGCCGGCAATATCGCTGAGGATTAATAAGGAAGCCCTATCGACCCCGGCTCGGCTGGCACCGTTCCACGTTGTGGCGACCGGCCTTCTCATTTTGCGGAGACAAAGCTGGCAGTACGGCTTAAATTTATGGCCGTCGTCGTAAACCAACCAGCAAAAACCCAATAATGTTCCGACAGGCGGCTTTGAAAATAATTTGCTGCAACTCATGACTTCTAGGGTCTAGCACGAAAAAGGCGGAAGTCTTGGTCATGATATTGAGCACCGAACACTGAACAGTTAGTGTCTAAGCTGAATCAGTGTAAAACCGTCGCTGATCTGTCCCATACTAAAATGTTTTGGATCACAGCTGAATACTAATACTAGCTTTAAAATAATCACCCACAGTTTAATAAGTGCCATGACTCTTCTCGGTATTCTAATGCTCGTAATCGGAAGCAATATTAAATTGCACCGATTAGCCAGTCGTGTCCCTCCCAGCCATCCGTCCAGTATCACACCTACGTGCAGGAAGGTATGCTGCAACAGGAACGGCCTCCTGGCGCGGTGGTTGTCCCGGATAAACTCCAGCGACTCGGAGAGAATCGGCAGCGTCATCCCCTGCAGCGTGTACGGCCACCGCTCCACGGCGTCATCGCGCACCAGCAGTGCATCCAGCTGGTGACGCAGCGACTCGGTCAGCATCGCCCGCTCCTCGAGAGTCCTGACCTTGCCTCCAGCCCCGGCTCCGCGACCGTCGTGCGCCGCCAGCGCCAGCCACTGATACCAGGCCGTCTCGGCGATCGGCTGATAGATGTCGCGCAGATCTGTCCTATTGGCCAGGGCGGCCAGGTAGGCCTCGAGAGCCCGCATGGGCACCAGCTGGCTGTAGGAGAGGTGGCCGCCGCTGGCAGGGGCGCCGCTCAGGGGGACGCCGTAGAACGAGTCGAATCCGTGCTGGAGCGGGCCGTGACAGTGGTCTGCCCACGACCGGCAGCCCCAGCCCAGCTCCCAGCTGCCTGCGACAGAGGAGCGGCGTCGGTGTTCCGGTCGGCTGTGACTCGGCTAGCGAGTTAGGCCTCCATTTATTACTGTAGTATCGCATCTCTAATTTACATCAATTTAAGCAATCAATAGATTTTATACTATATAATTACTAAACATCAGTAGCTCGTTGAATTCATTATGTATGTAGTTGTATATCTTTTTCAAGCCCCATGCACCGAGTGACCTACCTGCAGCTTTAGTGCGATACCCAAACTTTTTAAAAACCTCTGCATATGTTTGTGTGTTCACTGGCAGACCGGCACGGCTGAGGGTGTGTAAAATTTGCCGGACCCCGTCTTCACTTTCTTGAAGCCCTGCGACCGGATAACGAGACAGCCCATCAAAAACCGTTACCACTCGCGCTAACAGACAACGCGAGGCTGACACATTTTAGTCAGCTTTTGCACACCTGCATTTTCACAAATAAATGCATCTCGGGAACTAAAACGGACATCGCTATTCAGCGTGTGCCAACGGAAACGCCGAAAAGAAGTGCATAACAATGCACGTACATGCATCCATACACATACATTTATCCATCCATCCATCCATCCATCCATCCATCCATCCATCCATCCATCCATCCATCCATCCATCCATCCATGCATGCATTGCATAAATACAGGTATACATACCGGTGACCCGATTATGTACCGTACAGTTAGTCCACACTCCACAGTCCCGTGTCCGGTACATGCATGTGTGAAAGTATAGCCATGTTATATCATCCATGGTATAGCCTTGCTTTAATTGCATCAAAATAAAAAACTTCTCCACTGTTACACCACATCCATTCCATCATAGGTCAAGGTAGGTATCTGATAGCTCGATAGCTGCATTAGCATAACTGGTTCTCACTGTCGTTAAATAATGCACGTAATGCAAATCAATACCTTTCTAAGTTTCATGCAAACTGCTGAATGAAATGAAAGGTAATTTAGCTTGTTTTCCCGCGAAGAGATAAGTCTTCAAACTATGCATCAATAGCAGCAATGGTATTTTCATTTTGACATTTAGTGCACCGATATTAAATTAACAAGCTGCTGCTGCAATAGTGGCACAGCAGCTTGGACATATATCAAATCTGCTGAGACTCTATTCGCCACAAAAACAACTTGTGAATGCAAAACACCTCTGTATGACAACGTGGACATTCCTGAAGGAAAGCTCGTTTAGCTACTGAAAACAGACTCCCACGCTGCTGACACTGCAATGCGAGTAGATCCGACGTCTCAACGGACACTTACGACGCGCTTTTGGAGAGAAATGCCTTTCATATATCAGCCTGGCGTCTGCCTGGATTACGCTGGGCCTTAATGTCACCGGTTTTTGTTATAAGCCAGTCGCCAGACTGAGTCGTGGGTGCATTGCTCAGCGAGGAGACGTGCACCGCTTTGGAGTGTCAGGTGTGCATACTAATCGTGCATCGTGCAGTGTTTGCATCGTAAACGTACTACAGTCTGCACGAGCGAGATGTTGTGCATGCACTTGCACATCCGTCTGAGACAGGAAGTTGAGCCCATGTAAGAACGACAACACTGCATGCTTCGACAATATAACACTACAACATTACACGGTTAAAACGGTCCGGAGAATATACCGTAGATTACTTGTCACTTTACATATATGCATTACACATTTAACAATTAACATGGTAACATGTAAAAGTATCGTAACTATCTAACCATCGTATCTAAATTCTATGAATGTGGTTTGTTTATACCGGAAAGTTAAGTGGCATAATATAAACTATCTTGTGAGCAGCTCGGCATCTAGCACAGAGTTCACCCTGCCCAATAGTCGCATCGTGGATAGAGCTTAACGTACCATATCGGAAGGGCAGTTGACCGGTGATGTGGGCAGCCCTGTTGGCCGTCAGGGTCAGCGCCGGAACAGTGTGGTGCTGAAGGAGCGCCCCTCCAGCCGCCAGCCTGGAATATGCACGGGAAAAATGTTTTTTAGCTTTCTGAGCCCAACCCGTAGATTTATTATACTACGTATCTATTTAATATTTCGTAGCTTTAAATTTAGATTGTGCCTTTTATGTATTATCTATCACGGTAGCATGTCCAAGTTTGTTGCTTCCTTTGTGCTTGAAGCAACTTTGTGATTTTTAAAGGAAGCTGGGTGTGCGTTTCACTTTTTAATACCATCTATTTATCAATAGGGTGATACATATATGTATGGTCGACAAAAATAAAATACAAAGTTGTGTTGGCTTAGTACACGGTTCTTAATTGAGTCGTAGAATAAATAGAAATGTGAATTCGCTGGTTCTCGAAAATATAGAATTCACTCTCGGCTGTTGGCAAAGAGGTACTATACGCGGGCTGCCTTATAGCATTTTGTTAATCGGAGCGTTCGCCATGGGCTGGGCCAGCCCAATGGGCAATGGGCTGGGCTGGGCTACGGGCTGGGCTGGGCCCTCAAATATGAAGGATCGATGGGCTGTGGATGGGCTGGGCCAAGAACTGTAAAGTGGAGTCAGGGGTTCGCAGCTGAGACAAGAACTAAAACTAGCTTATTGCTGTGCAAGACTAAAAAACGAGTTAATAAAGCACCCATGCAATGTCCATTGTGCATCCTGCTCGCAAAAGATAGTTTCTTTGCGAGCTTTGGACACCTGTGTAGTGTCAATAATTGTTAATCCATTCATTTTTGACGGGCTGGGCCGGGCTGGGCTTTGACGCCTTTACCATGAATGGGCTCGGGCTGGGCCGGGCTGTGAACCCATGGGCCTTGGCTGGGCTGGACTGGGATTTTGCGGCCCGTGGCGAACACTGCTCCGAATGATGATGCTTTGAATATGTGCAGCTTTTGAGTGATGGGCACAAGTGAATGTATGTAAATGCCATGGTAGACGCCCGCGTGACAAACCTCTTTGTCACCTATGTAATTTGTTTGACACTGGAAAGAGACGAAAAAGAGAAAATAATACCAATAAACAAAAACAAGCTGAGCTGTGCAACAGGTTTTTGTTCGGCGATAGATGGTATCTGAATGTCATTGGTCTGCCAATATGGGACAGCGTCCAATCTGATGACAGTGCGGTTTTCAAGGCTAGTCGAGAGCGGACGCCAGCCAGCAGCCTTGGACATCCAACAGGATTACAGGGAGAGGACGAAAGTAGCACCAATCCGCATTGTCCACGGCTGCACGACAGCTCTGGCGGTACGGCCGTTAGCGAACTTATGTCAGTGCCTTCTGACATACGGGGTGTGGATGCAAGTACACAGAAGCTTATTGTCACTATCGTCACGGGAGCATACACCATGCCGTCCATATCAATTATCTCTCGTAAGAATACCAACACGCCCTTAGGACAATGTCAAATACAGTGACTAGCAAGACTTGAAACTTCTATGCAATGGAAAACAGACTGAAATTGGACTCCAAGATATGGAAGAGTTAAGCTTCATTTCACATGCAGAGACCATATTCCTTTCAACAGACATCGAAGGACGTGCCGTTGCATATCAGTTCGAGTTCATAGATAGTATCGATCCAGCTAGGACTGGCCTTGTGGAATGTATAAAGGCTCCGACTGCTGGCTTACATTGCGGCCGGATTCATGAGATTCTTTAGTGAGCTTTGGGAAGCACCGAACTTCGCCAGGAACCTTATGGTGAAATACACAGGAGTCCATCTGCATCGGTGACTCGGGGGAAACGCCGTGTTAAGGAACATTGCCGCACATCTACCAAGCGTATTATGTGAGCTGATTTTGTGGATATGGTTTGATCTCTCATGAGAACTGCACCTTTTCAATTCTATCCATTCAGATATTTGAGAAAAAAACTGTTAGAACTCTTCATTTAAGACACTATCTTGCAAGAGCATCCAGCGCGAAGTAATAAATCACATGCATAATGTGCATATTCTGTACTTAACTATACTTATAAGAACACGCATTTATTTCAACCACAACATTCGAGAGCAAAAATTTCCTATACGTGACCGTTATATTCAGTACCAGAAGAGAACACCATCAAAACACAGTTACAGCCGCTGGTGGATTGAAATGCCATCATCTCATGTTCCTCCTCTCTAACCCCATGTTCCGCTTTACACACCGACACCGATTCGATCTTAAAGGGACCCTCCCACCTTAACCCTCGCCCTGGCAGGGCATTTTTCATAACACGGCCTGGCAGGGGGGGGGGGGGTCGATGCGACCCCCCCCTCGCGATTGGCTCCTATGGCACCTAGAAACACCAAATTTGGTAGGTAGGTGGGCCCCCTGGAGTTCTCGCCCCTGTGCAAATTTGGTTGCTCTAGGTCAATATTTAGGGGGGTTTTGGGGGGTATAAATGTAAAAATTTCGCTAAAAACAGGTCAAAAGTTTTTCGCTTATAACTTTTGATCTAATTAAGATAGAGCAAAAAGAAAAGCACCAGTGAACTCAGCACGTCAAGGCGCGTCGAATGATATACTTTTTAGCTTGCCTAAGTGTACTTAAAGTTTTTCTTAAATTTTAAGTAAACTTAACTTAATAAATTAAGTTCTAGTTAACCAAATTGCATCATATCGCATATCATTCGATTCGGCTGATCACCAGGAACACAATGATACCATTTTTTAAGCTCTAGCGTCATTATGTGCCAAGTTATTGGCAAAAACGTCATTTGACCTCAGTTGACCTCATTTGACCTGACCCATGGATAAGTACACCGAGCAAAGAAGCACCAAGTGACCTGCTGCTAATTACTGTGGTTTCAAAGGACAAAAGTGATAGAAAGAAGCGGATATCTCCATTATTTTCCGAATTTAGTATTTTCCCATAGGCTTAACATTACGACGTAATGACCTCTAACTGACCTCAGGTCAGTGACCTCAAAAAACCCGAACTATATGTTATACAACTCGGTGAACTTAGCACATCCTGAAAGTTTGAAGGAAATCAGTCCAAAACTGTGAGTTGGACAGGTGCAAAAAGAAAATTGAAATTTGACCATGACCTTGTACCGGTTTTTCTGACCTGGTGACCTGACCCAAGGTCACCCGGACCTGAAATTTTCAGGTCATATGTAAAAAGGTTGCCCCATAGGCTGTGCCAAATTTGGCGGCGCTGCGCGCCGCCGTTTTTACGCTATCTTCGAAAAACCTTAGGGGGGGGGGGGGTCGCATCGACCCCCCCCCTGCCAGGGCGAGGGTTAACATTAGATTTGAGTTGAGATAGCCAAAATGGGTCCCTGGCTCACAGTTACCGGTTTCGGCACTCACAACATCGAGAAATGCCTTAAATAGGAAATATTGAATTTCAAAATTGCAGCATTTTGATTCAGAGGGGCTAATGCATAGGAATACCCCTCTGAATGTGTGACGTCAGCGCAGATATCTAACGATTTTTAAATGTTTGACTAAAATGTTTTGTAGCACGCGGTGGTATATGCTGCTTTGTGCGCAACAAATGCCGCACTTTCAAATAAAGTCGCTAGGAACAGCGGAGATCCCAAAAAGTAAACAAAAGTAAAAGTCTAATATCTTGAAAACCGATGAATATTTTTTTTTCGGTGAAATTTGGTAGATATTCGTTTTTGCTCTTTCTGAACCGAGCGACATCACTTTCATGCCAATTCATTAACTTTTTTGAAGGTGGGAGGGTCCCTTTAAACGGCTGTAGTGATCGCGTCTTTACCTGGGCGGATGCCCATGTGAGACAAGTGTCTGTTTATACGATCTGTGACACCTCCAGCTGTGCGCTCCGCCCAATAGCCGTTTGTATTGTCTTGTCTCAGTAGTAGAGACACACAGACTGATGGATTAACACAGGCAATTGGCCTGCCCGTGCCGCCCCCGACGCTGGGACACCACCGAGTGTAAGCGCAGCGACTCGCCCACCCAGGCGAGAGGCTAGGTCGGCACGGCGGAGGAGTAGCCACAAATTATACAGGTATGAAGATGAGCTGACACTGCTGACAGCTGTTGGACACGGAATGGGGAGCACGACTTGGGTAGATTGGGTTCTCACAATTAGCTAGGAAGTTCAGGAGCAGTGATGCCGATTGCGTGCCAAAACTGATAGTTGAGCTCAAACTTTTAAGGGTACCTAATGCAGCAAAGGAGAATATGTTTGAATATAGACCTCTGTATACAGAGGTGTATGGTTTGAACATATATTTTATACAATAACCAATTAATAATCGTTGAGAATTCGATAGCTAGATCAAGATGGCCGTGCTACTGCGCACGGCACATCAAACACATCTGATGTGAATTTAATGCAGCACAAGTCGTTAACTTCAGGACACAAATTATCATATCCCAAACGTAGAACCCAAGAATGGAGAGCGTCGCAGTTCTTCCTTCGGTTGCCATGACCCGTGACGCGACATACGGCATGCCTTTCGGTAAACCTGCCGTCTGGACGCCGCAGAGCAGGCAGTAAGAAGGAACTGTGTAAAATCTGGTCAGTGCCCCGTCACGTGTGGAACTTGGCACTATAAGGTCACCTCAGAACGGCGCCTCTCCATTAGACGACTCCATTGCCGGCCATGCTGTATTTTCAACGAGGCATAGGTCAATAACCCGTAATAAATATGCAGAATAACTGCGTCGCATCCAGTGCTGGAAATGAGGCCGCTTTCTGGTCCCGGCGTTTTATTCTCCGGGTGAGTTAGCCCCGTCTAGCGCTTAGCCTTTCGGGACCCTCTCAGAACGGCGGTTGTTTTCGCCGCTCGGCCCATTCGAGATGCAAAGTTGATAGTCGCACGAAGTTTATTTGGGGCTTCTGAATATGCGACTTCGAAATTAATTGATTCTACAAAACCTTTTTCTTTCATCTATATGCATACATTTACCAGTAACTCCAGACTAGACTGGTTTGGCTGGCCCTAAATAAGCTTCGTGTGACCATTAACTTTGCATCTCGACTGGGGCGAGCGGCGAAAACAACCGCGACCCTGAGTGGGTCCCGAAAGGCTAAACGCTGGACGGGATTAACCCGCGAGGAGAATAAAACGCCGGGACCAGAAAGCGGCCTCATTTCCAGCACTGGTCGCATCGTTGTAAAGAAAATGTGAATTTATTAGACAATCGATTAGGCATGTCCCTCGACAATCGACATAAACTCAGCTTGCTTGTCATAAATCCATTAGCTTGTCAAATGTGTAAGACGCATTTGCCTCTTGAACTGTATGGTAAGGTGGAGCATAAACTATCGTTTATCTGTAATGTAGCGGCTTGGCACAAACGAATTCCGAGCTAATACTAAGCTCAAGGCGAGAAGTTTTTTCTACTTAGTCAACAGCAGCAAAATATAGCAAAATATATGTACGTTTTGGAGTCATTTAGGCTTTTAACAGAGGTTTCCCGGAAAGAGACGTTTGATGACTTACCTGTCAATTGTAAAATATCCATCCTTACCTGTCAATGTTTGGCGTCTGCACCGGCGTACCGGGGTTGAAGCAGCTCAAGTCGTCTGCTCGCACATTGTTGGCCAGAAGCACCACAATATTGGGCTCAGCCGATGATGAGATGAACACGCCGAGTAACACTAATAGACCAATAACAGTGGATGCCATCGAGATCAGAAAAGCAGAACGGACGGACGGACGGACGGACGGACGGACGGACGGACGAACGGACGGACGGAGATGCAGTAGAAACGTTATCACGGATATAAATAGTGAGTTTTCTCTATTTCTGTTGCTGGTAATGCCACTACAGCACTATATCTGACACAAGTGACACCACTAGCACCACCGTGATACCACCGTCACCACCGTCTGCACCACCGTCACCGCCGGCACCAACTGCACCACCGTCACCGGCGCCGCGGCGACTCATCTGTCACCGGTGCCGCCGCGGCTCTCCGGACCGCGAAACCGGTCCTCAGGGCCCGCTCGACGCGCGTCCTGTGCTCCCACACACTCTCCGCCGCATCCGGGCCGATCACACCTGACCGCAGGCTCTCCCGGCGAGGTCACGGTCACGGTCAGCCGGGTCACAGAGGTCACCGCTGTCAGAGAGCCCAGAGCGCGCGGCGCGGCGGCGCGGCGGCGGCGGCCACTCCCATAGCGGAACGGCCGCCGGTTGAGGCCGCGAGGCGGGCCGCTCCGGCCCCAGAGCGATCACCTCACAGCCTTGGATCGGTCGGGCATCCTGCGTTTGCATAAAGACCCCGCCTCAATCAGACAGCCATTGCTTTTGTAAGGTGACACGCCGATCACTGCGGCTGTGTTTGGGACGCCGCTCGAATAGATTTGCATGCGAAAGCAGCTGGATCGGGGATCGCGTAGCCTCCTACTCGTACACCCCCGAAACGACATTGATAAGACCAATACCCTCTGTTGGTGCGTCACGGTGCTCTAAACAGGGGGACGCGGCGAGGAGGCTGTTGGGAAATCTGCATCGAAGATGCAAGCTCAGGCTCAGCTCTCGGTGCAGTTGGGACATTTGCCCCTTCCACACCGTCCAAAATAAAATTAATGTTTCCCTCTAACTTCGAAGAAACAGTATTCATTAAAGATGTTAGTGATAAATTTTAACTTGTCAAGCAATGATATCCGGAAGTGAATCCTGGAGCACTTTTGAAGAATTGTAGCAAGTTTGCTTTTGGAGAGAAGGGATGACCTCCCAGCGTCAAATAGGTACTATTGCCTATGTGGATCATCCACTGCCCAATTTATTTTCATTTAATAAATTTAGTCCGATTTTTTTTAGCCGGAAGGATTTACAGGGACAGAGCCTCCGCTGAGCGAAGCTTGTTGCGTTGACCCTGCCCTCTACCTATACCTCCGATCGTGCAATTCTAGCTCTATGACAGAATTGGCCAAAGTTTAACCCTCGCATGTGTGCGGCGTTTGCCAGCTTCTAATGTGTAGGGGGGGGGGGTCGGTTGGACCCCCCCTTGCCGTTTGGCCCCTGATCGAGCTAGAGCTTCGCGGAAAAAACGAGCGTGTTGCCCGTGACGAGAGGAAGCCGATGATACCCAATTTTAAGGTCCTAGGTCATTGGTTGACCTTCCAGGTCAGGTCAATGACCCAAAGTCGGGCAAATCGGGACCTGTTAGAAAGTCGTAAAGTGTGGCTGCTAAGGGGTTTTTCGGGGTGCTGATCACGAATATCGTGTTAGTTTTGATCACAGATGATGTCTTGAAGCATTTAGACCAGGTCGGGTCAGGTCAGGTCAGGTCAACCAGTAGGCGTCGTGACGGGTATTCGTAGTACGTGTCAACCGCCTCTGACAGCTTCGTAACATGTTACGAAGTCACCAAAACTACTTCGTAAATGTTCAAATGGTTGCTAAATTCGAATTCAGCTCAAAAAACTAGCCTAGAAACATGTAAAACTCGAAAAAGTGAACCGAGGTCACCCGAGGTCACCAAAGGTCAATGACCTGACCTGACCTTCAGGTGACCTTGACACACACGGGAGTAACATCAATTAACATGTTTGAACGTTTGAAACCACGAAAAGCTTGCAAACACGCGGCTAGTGCGAGCCGACATACGCGAAATCGCGATTCCGGCCAAACATGGTCTCGGAAAAGAGGTCACAGGTCAAAGGTCATTTGGGTCAGGGTCATGAAATTTTCAGGGTTGGTGTAAAATTGATCAATGCGAGGGTACTGAAAGTTTCGTCGCGATCGACCGCTTTTTACGCGAGTTATTCGCGAAAAACCATGGGGGGGGTCCATCCGACCCCCCCCCTACACATGCGAGGGTTAACGTGCGCACATAGCCGCGCACGGCCGGTCCCCACTCCCCTCACTGACTTCTCGACTGGCTACGGCCTGCCAAGTGCCATGCCAACCGTAACCATACCTGACGGCTGACAGGAGGCTCATAAACATCAGGCGCCCGTCGCGCTGCGAACCCGGATCTATTATACCGAACTGTTATAACCGGAGCGCGTGCTACCCCGTTCCGTCGTTTCCATCCTCAGGATACAGAAATCCGGAACCAACTGATCTCGTTCAGCGCACTGGAGTCACTAGGTGCCACTACGGCACCCCGCACGACTTTACTCGCATAGTGTTGCGACCCAGCCGTCGGCCTATTAACAGACCCAGTCTCTCATCGCCGCAACCTAGTGAGAGTAGATAACGACGCGTTCAACCAACGTCTTTTCTACGCGGACTGGACCCCTCTCATCCATGGCCAGACCACAGCAGAGAAGTGGCGGACGTTTCTGGATATGTTTCTACCGATGCTGGACGAAGTGGCCCCTCTCCGACGAGTACAGCAGCGTCAGATCAGGAGTACGCCAATCAGCGCCGACACCAAGCGGCTTATTGACCGTCGCCAGGTGGCGCTGCGTAACGACCTGCCAGAGTACAAGGACGTCAACAGGCAGTGCCGCGCGGCGATCCGTAAGGATTGTAAGGCACACTTTCAGAGGCAGCTCGCTCAGGCTCGGCCGCACGACCTGTGGCGAGTGTTGCGGCCGCTCATTGGTGCTAAAAGCAAACATTCGTCGATACCCAACGCTACTCCTGACGCTCTCAACAATTATTATGTATCGGTAGGACGGACTACAGCAGCCAGCGTTCCTACCCCGGCCAACCCTGTGCCGGTGAGGCTGCCGCGTGTCTCAACCAGCTACTTCTGTGTACACGCCATCGACATGGACACGCTCTTCGCGACCCTTGCTAGCATGAAGAGCTCCACGTCCACTGGTACCGACGGCATCAGTGTTCATATGATGCAGAATTTTTTTCGAAGGACTAGGACATGCTCTACTGAATATAACCAACTCGTGCCTGACTACCGGCGACATACCAGCTGAATGGAAACATGCGCTGGTGACACCTATACCCAAAGGCAAAGTCAGCAGTGAGCCATCGAACACGCGACCGATTTCCATATTGCCTGCAGCGATGAAAATAGTCGAGCGTGTAGTGCAACGACAGCTGGTCACCTACCTCGAGAATAGCCACCTGCTGTCTAGTACTCAGCACGGGTACCGGAGAGGCTACTCGACTGACACTGCCCTGCACGTCGTCACTGACAAGGTTCTGCGGGCGATGGATAGCGGAGAGGTGTCGTCACTTGTGCTAATCGATTTATCTGTAAGGCTTTTGACGTTGTGCCGCACGACAAGCTGCTCGAGAAACTAGCGTTGTACGGTGTGAACCCGAAATGGTTTGCGAACTATCTGTCAGGCCATACGCAACAAGTGCAGGTACGCCGCAGTGACGGAAGCGTGTGTTTCTCACAGACAAAGCCAAACAGTATCGGTGTGTACCAGGGCGGGTCGCTCAGTTGTGCATTGTACACGCTGTACACAAATGACCTCAGTCTGTACGTACCTGAATCCGTGACCGTTGTGCAGTTCGCCGACGACACACAATTCCTGGTAACGGGTAAGAAGCAGGACATTCATAGCATGGTAGAGACGATGGAGCAGGCACTGGACTCTTTATATCACTGGTACTGTTCTCATGGAATGAAGTTGAACGCGACCAAAACACAGATGATCGTGATTGGAACGCCGGCTATGCTGCGACATATGCCCGCCGTTCAGCTGAAATTCTGTGGAGCGGCTGTAAACGACAGCAGAGTAGTGAAAAACCTCGGTGTCATCATCGACAGACACCTGACCTACCAGTCACATATTGACGAGATGACACGTAAATGCAACGGCGTCCTCGTTGCGCTGAGCCATGCGAGACATGTGATCCCAAGGCGTGCGCTGAAGCCAATAGTTCAAGCTCTTGTTATATCAATCGTGAGATATTGCATGTCAGTGTACGGGACTTGTGGCCAGACCCAGTTACACCGCGTTCAGAAGATTCTGAACTTCTGTGCACGTGTAGTGTCCGGGAAACGAAAACGGGACCATATCTCCGATGTATTCCATGATATGGGGTGGTTCACTGCATCTGAGATGGCGATGTACATACTGCCGCGTGTGTAGTTTGCGCAGCGTTCTTGTCAGTGGTCAGCCCGAGGAAATAGCCGACACGCTCGGTCAGACGGCGAGACAGAGACACGCTCATAATACGCGACGCGCCTCTGAACTTGCTCTCCCACGCATCCGAACGGAAGCGGGACGACGCAGGCTGTGCTATGGGGCTGTGCAAGCTTTCAACCAGCTCCCAGTTACCGAGCCAGGTGTGTCATTCAAACGCCAGCTAAAGCAGCATATTTTTAATATAAGGAGTGTTTAAAACATCGTCACGTGCATCCGTGTGGCCACTTTGGCTTTGGCCGACCTCTTCCTGTTTTTAACGTTTGAATTGCTGACGTGCGATTGTGAAAAACCATGTGTGTTAATGTGGATCTTTCGCCAAATAAATCTGAAATCTGAAATCTGAAATCCTTCTCCTCCGCACCGCAACGGGCAACCCCCTACGGGCTGGACAGGCAACTTTATCTCATGCGGGCGGCTCCCTTGGAGCGGCACCGCTGCTCCCGAGGGAGCGCAACCCGTAGCTGGGTGCAGAGAGTGCTTGGGGAGCTGGTCGGCCTGTCCATTTGCCTTTGGACGGGCTTAGCCCCGGTGACTCTCTAGGGTGTCTGCCCAGAGCAATGTCTCCCCCTAATTCCTATCATTCTTCCGGCTCTGAAATGGTCTTGTCAGACCGAAAGCTGGCCTAACCCAAAGAAGCAAAAACGCGTGCTCTCACCGCGCGGAGTCCTCAGTCCAACGCTCTACCGACCGAGCTACGGGATCGGCATTTGCTCTATGATGCGACATCTTCCACTAATCATGCCCGTGGCCGCATACTATCTCTGTGGAATGCAAACAGAACAGGGAGCGCATAACCGGCTCGAATCGAGACCTCCTTTAAGTGTCGGAGTTGGTTCAGGAGGCCAATGGCGACGTATGTCAGCTCAACTGTACCCACAAAGGCCCTTATTGACCGTTTTTATTATCTGTGTCTACCTGAAGCAATTGTTGCAAAGTGAGCG